TGTGGGGGTACAGTGCCTCTCTCGCTAACAACCCTATAATCGCCCTGTAGCCACCCTATCTCAGTGGTTCTATCTGTATACCTAGGTAGGTAACTTGGTAACTTGGTATACGTGTGGGCCTTGCCTGATGGCTGTCATTGGACACTTTGCTTTCTGCCACGGACGTTTCGTAGGGTAGCAGGCCAATTCGTGCTCTTGCTTTCAGGGATCATGCCCCTCTTCCCAACGTCGATGGCGTATGATGTACCACGTAGGCGGGGTAGCTGGTGGTGTTTGGAAAGCACGGCATGTGTATTGGGGCTTTCGTGATGAACGACGACAGACTTGCTTCCAGATTCAACTCTACCTCACTGACCGACCATATCCAGCTGATAGACCACCCAGCTGCGAACCGAGTCACCTAGTTGTTGCCACACCACTGCCATCACCCATCACCCATCACCCATCACCCATCGTCTCATCACCTCACCATGGTCAAGGTCCTCCTCACAGGTTCGACAGCGCCCCTCAAGACCCCCAGGCAACCTTGCCAGACCAACCACCGCTGACGAGACTCCCAGGCGGCTCCGGCTTCATCGGCGGCCACGTCCTCGAGCAGCTCATCGAGCAAGGTCATGATGCTGTCGTGACGGTGCGCTCCGAGGACAAGGCGCAGAAGATCCGCGACGACCACAAAGACCTGGCCGCGGGACGCCTGACGGTCGCCATTGTGCCGGACATTGCCCGCGAGGATGCGTTTGACGAGGTCGTCAAGACGCCGGGGCTCGAGGCTGTGCTGCACACGGCGTCGCCATTCCACTTTAACTTTAGTCCGTCTGCCCTCTCCTCCTCCTCGGAAGCCCCTCTGCTTGCCCCCCCCCCCTTTCTCCTTGACGCGCGCCCTCTGCTGACGCGGCAACAGCCGACCCGAAGAAGGACCTCGTCGACCCGGCCGTCATCGGCACGACGGCCATCCTCCAAGCCCTCCACCGCTCGGCCCCCGGCGTCAAGCGCGTCGTCATCACGTCCTCGTTCGCCTCCATCATCGACGAGGCCCGCGTCACGGACCCGACCAAGATCTTCACCGAGCGCGACTGGAACCCCGTCACCGAAGCCGACATAACGCAGTCGAAAGCGACCGCCTACCGCGCCTCCAAGAAACTCGCCGAGCGCGCGGCCTGGGACTTTGTCGCCGCCGCCGCGCCCGCCTTTGACCTCGTCACCATCTGCCCGCCGCTCGTCCTCGGCCCCGTCGGCGCCCACCTCGCGCGCCTCGACGCCATCAACACGTCCAACGAGCGCCTCGTCCAGCTGCTGCGCGGGGACTGGAAGACCCGCGTCGCCGACACGGGCGCCGCCGTGCTGTGGGTCGACGTCCGCGACTGCGCCGCCGCCCACCTGCGCGCGCTCGAGACCCCCGCCGCCGCCGGCCGCCGCCTCTTCACGACGGCCGGCTGGTTCTCCAACCGCGAGATCGCGACGGTCGTGCGGGAGAACTTCCCCGAGCTCGCCGACAGGCTGCCCGGCCCCGACGTCGAGGGCGGCGAGTTCCCGCCCAAGGACAAGGTGTACGGCTACGACAACGCGGCGACGAACGAGGTTCTGGGCATCCAGTGGATCGGGCTCGAGAAGAGCATCGTCGACTCGGTGAAGCAGCTGCAGAGCCTGCCTGCGTGGAAGACGCTGTAGATGCGCTGCGTGGTAGATGAGCGGTACGACAATGGAGTCGTGATAGTGGGCATGCATAATACTGCGGCATGCATAGCACTGCACCTTCCATTTCTCTTTCTTGAGGGCCTTTCGAGGGCCAAATTATGTACGGACCCCTGACATGTCTAAACATCCTCACCATCGCTGCCACCGCCTCGTTCCTCTGGTATAAATCACTGCCGCTTTTGATCACCTCCCTAATCCACCGTGCCCGTTCCAGTCATCAGTCGTCATTCACGTGCTGCGCCCACACGCTACCTCCGGTTGGCGTCGATCAGCTGGTCCATGAGCTCGCCGTTCTTCTGCTCGTGCTGCAGCTGCTCGGCCGTCTTCTCCTCAGGCTTGTCGCCGGCCTCGATCTCGGCCGCCTTCTCCTCGTAGTTCTCTACCTTCATGTCGTTGAGGCCGAGGTCCTCCATCTCCTCCTCGGTGCGCTCGTACATCTCGCGCGTGATCTGGGGGTCGGTCGCCGGCGGGTCGACGAGCGACTGCACGTAGCTGCTCGCCAGCGGGTCGGACAGGATGACGGTGAAGGGCTTCTCGCCGCGGATGGCGACGTCGAGGCCGTCGAAAAAGGCCGTCCACTTTTCCTTCTCGTCCGGCACGGCCGAGTCGCCGCCGCCGCTGTTGCCGTTGGCCTGGAAGATCTGGTTGTGGAGATCGTTGCGAACCTGCGTCAGGAGGCCCTCGATGGTCGTGAAGCGGCCGCCGAGCGTGCCGGGGTTGACCGAGAGGCCGAGCTCGGGGCACTCGAGGGCGCAGCTCTCCGACTTGAGAATGTCGCGCGCCAGATCCGTCGTGTCGCGGACGGCAATGGTGATCTTCTCGCCCTGTTCGGGAATCTCGCCGCCCGTCTTGACGTCGTTGGAGCGGTAGCCGCAGGCATCGCATACGGTGGACATGAGGACAACCTGCTTGAAGTGAGGAATGTCCACCATCTTCATGTGCGTCGTGCAGGGCTGCATGCAGCCAGGGCAGCTGGCGGGGAAGCTGTAGACCTCGTTGGGGATGATGTTGCCGTCGGCATCGAGCGCGGGGTTGGGGTCGAGCATGGTGGCGTCGGCGTTGGCATTGTTGGTGCTCTCGCCGGAGAGGCCGAGGGCCTCGTTCTGCTCGGCCGTTCGGAGGAACTCGTGCTTCTCCCACTTGCCGACGCCATCCTTGAGGTCGGGGGTGATGAAGGAGTTGCCAGCGGGGTCGTCGACGGTTACACGGAAGGGGAAGGAGGAGCCGGCGAGCATGGCGCGGCCCTTCGCGATGACCTCGCCCACCTTTTCGGCGACGTCTGGTGCCTGCTGCTTGCGGGCTTCCTGGCCAAACTCGAGATCGTCAATGACGGTCGACAGCAGGCCTTCAACGTTGGTGAGCTGTCCCTTGCCGGACGGGACCTCGAGGTCGAGCTCGGTGAACTTGACGGTGGCCGTATCCGACTTGACGACCTGGCGGGCAAAGTCGGCCATGTCGGTCAGGCGCAGCTCGTAGTATGTGCCCTTGGGCTGGACAGTGCCGGCAGGCTGGACCTCGTTGTTCTGGAGGCCGCAGTGTTCGCAGGCAAAGGACATGATGATGACTTCGCGGAAGTAGGGGATCGATGTGAGGAGCATGCGGGTGACGCCCTGGGAGAATGTGTCAGTCACTACCTTTCATTGTCGGAAGCAAGCGGAAGGGGAGGCCGCAGAGGGGTTGCTCACATTTTCGTGGCAGTTCATGCAGAGAGACTCAATCTCCTCGACCAGCTTGTGCTCCTCCTCGCTGCTGTTGTCGACTTGCTGGCCGATGTTCTGAAAGAACTCGTTGGGAGTGACCTTGCTGTCGGGGGCGGCCATGGTTGCGATTTTTGCGTGGGACAAGAATATGTGAGGGTTTGCGATTCAAACGATACCAGAAAACAGCCGTTAGAGGAAAGAAAAATGGGAATACTCTAGTGGTGGCCCAAGGTGACTGCGTCTTGTTCAAGGTATTCAGAAGTGATGATAAATGGCGGGGGTCTTATCGCAAATCAGCGGCGCGCGCGACTTGGGCGAACTGATTTTTCTGGAGGGGCAACAGAACCCCTCCATTGCCTGTGACTGTGACGCAGGGCCGCATTCTTTCTGGTGGGTTGGTGTGGGGCGTGCTGGCTCTGTCAGTCAGCGCCGCCCGGGGGGGGGTTGGGGGGGCTTCGAGAAGATTCGAGTCCAAGTACTGCTCCACGTTCGATGGGTGTCGAGGTACCTCGTCATCATCTCTTCATGGAAAAGTCGGCCAGGCTGAGACTGCGCGACCCTTTGGCGTTCTTGTTCTGGTCCAGCAGTGCCTGCAGGCCTGCCTTGCGACTCTTGGCCCTTTTCTTGCTGCTGGCGTTGGCCGACGACGATGTCGGCGTCGGTGTCGAGGCCTTGCTGCTTGCCGTGGACGCACTGCCACCATTCTTCACTGCACCAGTCTTCACTGCACCAGCCTTCACAGCACCGGTAGCCTCATGAGCCTGCGTCTCAGTTGCCGCCCACGTCTTCTGTTGTCTGAGCTGTTTCCTGCTCCTGTTGGCCGATGGGGGCGGCTCCAGCTTGATGACCGTCTTCTCCATGCAGTGGCCACACTGCAGGACCTTTCTCAATCCTGTAACCTTGGTGTTACGCTTCCTGTCTGCCTTGTTGCCGGACCCATGACGTTTGGGGTTCGTTCTGTCCGTCTCCATCTTGACACTGCTGCCCATGCCGGGGATCATGATGAGTCCACAGGCGGCGCAGGCACGCTGGCGTTGGACGTCGGTCTGCTGGAGGCCTTCACTGAGGGAGAGCTCGTGGCTGCGGCTCATGAGCCATGCTGACGTCTCGGGTGCCGTCGCGCGTAGGAGGTGGGCGGCGTCGCTGAGAAAGGTCATGTGCTCCGTCATGGGCACTCTGTCCCTTGTCGGGAGTGCTCTCGAGGATGGTGCTTCCATCGCAGGGCCTTTGATGCCGGGATGGTTTGCCGTCCGAAAGGGGCGGAAGCGCTCTGTGAGGCCGGAAAGGTTCTTGAAGCAGAAGGGTCTTGAGGCAGGCGGTCGAGCTTGAGCAAGGACCACTCGCTGACCCCCTGCCGCTCACGCCAGCCAGCTGCCACTGCTCAATTGACTAGGTACCTAACCTAGGTAGGTACCTACCTACCTACCTACCTACCTAGGTACCTGTGTACCTTACCTCGCATCCAACCCCACCACGGCCACGGCCACGGCCACCCCACCGACAAACCTCATGCAGAGCCTCCAGCTCCCATGGCCTGCCTTGACGACGAACACAGGGCTGGTCACTGAGGCCCATGAACGACCCGTCGCGGTTTGATCCCCTCCAATGTCGATGAGGGACGCGAAGGGTGATCCCAAAAAGATCAGACCCCCCAAACCGAAGCCTGCAAACCCCATCACCGTCGCCATCCAGCAATGGCTGGCGACTCTACCACCCGCGTCGGCGGCGGCACTCGACGGTCTTGACGCCGAGGGTCTGCTCTTGTCAGCACCCAAGCGTTTCACCATCTATGAACCCATGGTGCTCCTCCCCAGCGGGAGCTTCGACAGCCCATCATGGCAGGCTCTCCTCTCCCATTCTGCACTGGGCCCGGCGCACGTCAACGATCTGTGGCACGCCCTGCTGCGGGAACTCTCCAAGAAGCAAAAAGCCCCTCTGACGCACCTGGCGGCCAATCAAGGCATCCCGCCGCTCGTCGCGTCCGACGCGCCAGGCGACCCCAGCAGCGACAACATTCTCAGGTCGCCAAGCGGGCTGCGGATGCTGTACGGCGACTTTGGCCCCGCGACGTCGCCCAGCGGCCTGCCCTCGCACGACGACTTTGCGCGGGCGTTCTGGGTTTCGACCAAGCAGAACGGCATCTGGCAGACGTGGGCCCCACGCTGGACCATGTTCAGCAGGGGCAACGTCAAGGAAAAGGCCCGCCTCCTCGCCTTTCACGACGAGACCGCCACGGCGGCTTTTCCCCACCGCGCCTCCGTCTCGCTTCCTTCGGGCACGGGCTCGACGGCAGCGGCGCCGTGGGCCGTCGACATGTACGCGGGCATCGGCTACTTCACCTTTTCGTACGCCCGGCTCGGCATGCGCGTCCTCTGCTGGGAGCTCAACCCCTGGAGCGTCGAGGCGCTGCGGCGCGGCGCCGTGGCCAACGGCTGGGGCGACGTGCACGTGGCGCGCGGCCACGACCTGCTGCGACCGACGCGGGAGCTCGTGCCGGCGGGGGCGAGGATCGTCGTGTTCCTCGAGGACAACGGCGAGGCGGCGCGGCGGATCGCGGCGTGGCGGTCGCGAGACGCCCTCGACGTGCTGCACATCAACTGCGGGCTGCTGCCGACGAGCGAGGCGACGTGGCGGCCGTGCTGGGAGATTGTGGCGCGGGGCGCGGCGCCGGCGAGCTGGCTGCACCTGCACGACAATGTCGCCACGGGGGCCATTGAGGCACGGCGCGCCGACATACAGAGCCGGTTCGACGGCTGGGTGCGGGACGAGGGGGGCGCCGCGGGCGAGGGCGTCACGGCGCGCGAGGCGCGGGTCGAGCACGTGGAGCTCGTCAAGACGTACGCGCCCGACGTGTGGCACTGCGTCTTTGATGTGTGTATTCTTACAAAACGTACATGAGTACACTTGGTCGTCGCTCGTCCTCTCTGTTCCTGCCGTCCTTCGTCTGCCGTCCTTCGTCTGCCGTCCTTCGTCTGCCGTCCTTCGTCTGCCGTCACGTCTACCTCCGAAATTTGGAGGGAATGTTGGCCTCGACAATGGCCATCTTGTTGAGCCTCTCTATCCTCTCGGCCTCGTCCTCCATGTCGTCGTGCTTCTTAAAGTGCTCAATGTCTTCGGGGTGGGTGAGGTCCTCGAGCTTTGTGTTTTCGTCGTGGTATCTACGGGGGTCAGCAAGGCAAGAGCAAGCGAGGAGCCAAGGCGAAAGACAATCATCAACCGAAAAAAAGGGAAAAGAGGAAAAGAAGAAAAGAGAAAAAAAAAACATACTTCTCCCAGTGGTGAATCTCATACTCGTACTCGGCGTCGCCGTGGTGGCCGGGCCCCGTGCCGAGGTCGGGCAGCGTCTTGCCGGCGTCGATGAAGGCGTCCCACTCGGCCCTCGTGACGGTGCCGTCGGCGTCGGCGTCGAGCAGGGCGAGCAGCCGGCGGGTGACGTCGTCGCGCTCGGCCGGGGCGAGGCGGCTGTTGGACTCGTCCATGAGGCCGTAGGTGCGCTGCATCTCGTCGACGTGCCAGAGGCCGTCGCCGTTGTAGTCGTGCAGGGCGAAGAAGGAGGCGGCGTCCCAGGCGTTCATGTGGTGCTCCTCGGCCATGTGGCGCGTCATCCAGTCGGCGTCGGCGGCGACGAGGGGCGCCTGGCGCGCGTGGTCGCCGTGGGCGAGGGCCGTGCCGGCGAGGGCCGTGGCTGCTGCGGCGGCGGCGGCGAGGCGGAGGTGGTGCTGCATCGTGGGCGGCGATGGCAGAGATGGCCGAGAGGAGGAGGGGCGCGGGCAGAAGAGAGGAGGAGGGCGCGGACAGAAGAGGGGAGGGAGAGACACGGCAGACAACAGAAGGAAAACGTGGCAGGGCTGAGGAGAGGGTGCCTTGGCGCAGGGGATTCGGGAGACACGATGGTTGGCGTTGTTTGGAGCTCGGACGGAATGTGCTGCGAGGCATCGCGAATGCAGGATACGCACTTCCCATTTCAGGGGCGCGTTGGCGTGCATTAGGGGCGTCAGGGGCAGGCGCCAGGGGCTGTGCATCGGCATTGGTAGGCGCCGACGTCCGTGTTTGTGCTGTGACCATTGACCTGCCTGACCTGCCTGACTGACGTGAGGCAGCTGTCCCGCGCTCTCCAGCGCTCTCAGCATCGTGCGTCCCATTGCTGCAGACCATGTGGCCCGGCCTGGACTGGCATGATCTGATCATTGCCCAGAGCTCAAATTGGCTTGGTTTTTTTTTTTAAAAAGAAAATTATTTGCTCTGCTACCCACAACAATACTAGTTGTATCCCGAGGTTTCGATGTACCATACTGAAGGAAGCCAACCATTGCTGCAGACAGTTGACCTGACAGACCATGGGGTCCGCTTTGGCTGACCTTGCGCCAATCGAGAACAGAAATCGGCATCAGTGCCCCCCCGACATTCGGCAGCCAGCGAACTCGATGCCCCGACAGGCGTGGTCGATCAAGCCATGGGTCCAGCCAGGTCAACTCCAGACCCAATAGTCGGGTCAGGTCAGGTCAGGCATGTCAGGCAGGTCAATGGTCACCCAGCACAAACCCAACGGAGCTCACCTCTCTGCCGAGGCGTGCCGGGTCCATCGTGTCAAGTCAGGCCAGCGGGTCCATGATCAGGTCACAAGCTACCTACCTACCTACCTAGGTAGGGTAAGGTATCTTGCCCAAGGCGCCTGTGGTCGAAGCTTGTAGCAGCGGTCAGTACCTCGTACCTACCGCGCGCCGAGCTAGGTACCCAGGCAGGCAGCCGTGCACTGTCACGTACTTCGATGCCTGGGTAGGTACCTAGGTATCGAAGGTAGCGTCCCTGCCATGCACCAAGATCCAAGCTCCCTAGTAACCTCAGCCTCGACAACCTCGACAAAACACCACAACCACCACAACCACCACAACCACCACAACCACAAGCCCGCCATCAGCACACACGCCCGCCATCAGCACACACGCCCCGCCATCGAGCACAGCACACAATGAGCCGCTCCATAGAGCAGGCGCTGCTCCAGCTCATGCCGACCCACGCCACCGACCTGCCGCCCCCCCTCGTCGAACTCGCCAGCGCCCTCCTCGCCCAGTCCCGCCACAGAGCCAGCACCCTCAAGGCCGAGGAGGAGGTCGCCCGCCTCCACGCCTGCTGCCACATCGCCTGCGACCGCCTCAAGATCACCCTCGACCTGCCGCCCATCCACTCGCGCCCGCCCATCCCGCCGCGCATCTACCAGCGCCTCTACGCCCACCTCGACAACATCCTGCCGCACAACGTCACGGCCCGCACGCCAGCCAAGAACAGGCACGCCACGCCGCGCCCACGCCACGCCCACGCCGACACGACGACGACGACGACGGCCTCGGGCCGCCCGCTGCCGTCGAGGACGACGCCCAGCAAAGAGACGACCCTCGCGCCCTTCCGCGCCGCCGCCGCCGCCACCCCTACCAAATCCACAGGCAGGGCCGTCCCGCCCGTCGACACGGCGGCCCTGCACCCGTGGATCCGCCCGACGATCCGCTTCCTCTGCCGCGCCTCGGGCCACCCCCGCCTCGCGCCGACGCTGCTCGCCGGCATGGAGCGCGCCGTCGCGCCGGGCGGCCGCCGCACGCGCGACCCCTGGGTCCTCGCCAACCTGACGGGCCTCGTCGCCGCCTTTTACTTCTTCGTCGTCCAGCAGCTGCGCGTGCTGCGCACCGGCGAGCCCATCACCGAGGCGAACTACCTGCCCGTGCGCGCCGAGGTCCTGGCCCTGCTGACGCGGGCGCGGCAGGAGCTCGTCGTCGGCGGCGGCCGGGGCCTCGACGAGGACGACGACGCCTGGGCCGGCTGGCAGGCGCTGCGGCGGCGCGACTTTATCGCCGTCACGGACGAGGTCACGCGCCGGGCATTTTTGCAGGAGGATTGGTACGTCGGCATCCGCGACCTCTATGCCAGCGGCGCCTTCGACGAGGCGCAGGCAGACGACGCCGACACGCACGAGGCCGGCGGCGAGGAAGACGCCGCGCGGCTCACGAAGATGACGATACGCCGCGCCGACACCATGTTCCAGGACAGGTACGAGTACCTCAGCGAGGGCAGACGCCTCGACTACCGCCTGTGGAAGGAGGGCGTCCTGCAACGGATCGAGCGGGCGGAGGGCACGGCACAGGATGGCATGGACGTAGACTGATGACGATAAATAAAGACTAAAAATAGACGATAAATAAAGACTAAAAAAAGACTATAAATAAAGACTTCAAAAGAAAGACTTTAAGATGAAGACTTTAAAATAAAGACTTTAAAATAAAGACTTTAAAATAAAGACTTTAAAATAAAGACTTTAAAATGAAGACTTTTAAATAAAGACTTTTAAATAAAGACTTTTAAATAAAGACTTTTAAATAAAGACTTTTAAATAAAGACTTTTAAATAAAGACTCTAAAATAAAGACTACAACAAAGACTTTAAAACAAAGACTTTTAAATAAAGACTTTTAAATAAAGACTTTTAAATAAAGACTCTAAAATAAAGACTACAACAAAGACTTTAAAACAAAGACTTTACAATAAAGACTAAAAAAAATAGTTTACAAGAACAAATCACCCAATGCGACCCGGCACGTAGGGGTGGCCCGCACTGAGCCCGCCGTCGACGGCCCACGCCTGGCCGTTGACGTAGCTGCTCTCGTCGCTGCCGAGGAAGAGCGCGACGCGGGCAATCTCGTCGGCATGGCCGCCGCGCTTGAGCGGGTTCAGCTGGCCGATGCGCTTCTCGGTGCCCCGCGCGCGGGCCGCCTCGTACACGTCGGCCGTCATGCCCGTCTCGATGAGGCCCGGGCAGATGGCGTTGACGCGGACGCCGGTGCCGGCGAGCTGGTAGGCCGTCGTCTGCGCCAGCGAGATGACGGCGGCCTTGGCGGCCGAGTAGGGCGTCGTGCCGGCGTTGGAGCGGATGCCGGCGACCGAGGCCGTGCCGATGATGGAGCCGCCGGCCGTGGGCTTGGCCGACGACGTCAGCTGCATCGCCGGCGCGGCGTGCTTGGCGGCGAGGAAGACGCTGGGACCCGTTAGCGTGGGAGCACGCATGCGCCCGCGGCGAGTGACCCTCCGAGCCCGAGAACGGCTTGGGCGAGTCCCCTCGTGGCGAGCGGCTCTCGACGACGTGAACAGTACCTCAGCACGTTGGTGCGCATGTTCTGCATAAAGTCCGTCTCGGTGACGTCGGTGAACAGGGCCATGGGCCCGACGATGCCGGCGTTGGCGAAGAAGACGTCGAGGCGGCCGTAGGTCGCGACGGCGTGCGCGACGACGTCCCGGACGGCCTGCTCCTCGGCGGCGTCGAAGCGGCGCACGTGGACCTCGACGGCCGGGTGGACGGCGTGGATCTCGGCGGCGTGGGCGTCGAGGTGGGTGCCGTCAAAGTCGCAGAGGTAGAGGGCGCGCGCGCCGTTCTCGGCAAACTGGTGGGCGGCGGCGCGGCCGATGCCGAGGGGCGAGTTGGTGCCCGTGATGATGACGACCTTGCCGGCGACGCGCGGCGCCGCCGAGGGGCCGGCCACCTTGGTGATGGCGGGCAGCGACGTCGTCGAGGTCGAGGTCGAGGCGCCGCCGGGGGCCAGCTGGTGGCCCAGCGCCGCGATTCTGTCTTTGGCGGAGGGGGACATGGTGGTGGTGGCGGCGGCGGCGGTGGGGGGGGAAGGCAGTGGTGATAGGGAGAAGAGCAGCTGTGCTTGACAGTGCTGGAAATGTTCGAGCTTACATGTCGTCTGCGATGGGGGGGGTTCGGTTTCGGATGTGGCATCGATGGAGGGAGGGGGTTGGATCGAGCAGTGGGCGAGCCGAGGCTCCTGGGGATCGACGTGGGTGAGCTGGGGCAAAAGCTGGGGTCCGGCCGGTGCAGCCACGAATGAGCCACGGAGCACGCCTGAGCCACGGAGCACGCCTGAGCCTCGGAGCACGCCTGAGCCACGGAGCACGCCTGAGCCACGGAGCCACACGTCTCCTCTCACGGTCATCTCCAGCACGTTCACGTCCATGCTATTCGTAGGTACCGACCTTAACGTACCTAGGTACCGTACCTACCTTACCTGCTTTACCTAGGTAGGCATCAGAGCAATGCAACAGACCACGGTTGCCTGTTGTTCGCACGGCAAGCACCCCCGATCGGGCCTGCACTCGAGCGTCGAGGTCCGTCCAGTCGGCGTGGAACCGTTCAGCACGGAACATCACCATCTCGGCCTCTCACAAGCCCTGAGGGAGACCGCAATCGGATAGAAACATGGCAACATTCACGTCAGAGATGACTGCACAACCTCGTGGGCAAGCTGCATATCGAGAAGGAGGCTGAAGTCATCGCCGAGCTGTCACATTGAGCCCTTCGACGATCAACCTTGCACATGAACCCCAGTCCTTGGCGGCACGGCCTCGTCGGCCTCGTCGGCATCGTCACACCCTGCGGCCTTCTCCCCTGACGCTGGGGACGCACATGCCCGAGGGGGGCGCTACTGGTGTATGGCCATCACACGGTATCGATGACGGCCTTGGGCTTTCAATGGAAACTCTGGCTCCTTGGCGACGGACAGGCGATCAATGGGACACTCTGGCTCCTCGACGACGGACAGCATGTCGAACAGCGTGCTCAGCTCGGACGTCCCAGCATTCGAGGCAAGCCTAGGAGGAATTGGCACTGAATGGCACCTTCGCAGACTCAGCCGAGGCATGGCAGGCCTGAGATCAGATGATGGCGCCATAATTCAGCCTCGAGGGCGACAGCGACGACATGCTGTCGGTGACAGGTGGAGACTAAACACGTGTGCTCGAACAGGAGACTGTCAGTCAAGCATTGGCGTGCCTGGTTGAGCTGTAATTCCCGTCATATTTGGCTTCTGGGATCGGTGCATTGATTTTTAGCCCTCTCCGTAGGTGCCGACGCGACTGCAGGGCTTACCGCACTGCATCTTGGTAGGTCCGCTGATTCCGGGATGCACTTGGTGCGTCTGGAGAGGCCTGACGAAGAGCTTGGGAACTGGAACGCAGTGCGACGACCTCAACCGTCAGACGGTGAAATACGATACTGCAAATTGAGGAGCGGACAGCTTGCGCTCTACAAGACACTCTCGAATCAGATCATCCGCAAGATATCCTACACCGAACCAGGGGGGTTCCAACGTCTGCCTTATGGATACTAGGAGAGAGCTCTGCTCTGCGTCCTTATTTAAGATCCTTCAAAGCCTCGTTTCTCTTCAAAAAGTTCACCCACGCCGTCGCTTCGTCGAGAAAAGGAAGAGGCGCAGTCTCAGACATCGGCGGGGCAAACACCCAAGGACTCCCCGGCGGGTTCTGTCTGAAAGACTTGATGAGGGAGTCCATGTATATCCCCGGAAGGAAGAAGGTAGCCAATTTGCCGACTCGTCTAGCGTATTCCTCAACCTCGGCCTTGCCGTCAGACTGATAGACGCGGGCGAGGATGCCCTGCGTCGCCAGAGGTCCTATCGTATTAGCAACCCTTTTTGCCACCCTCAGCGCCAGTGGCTCCGATGACGGGTGTTGCAAGTACCGATGCCGATGCCCCCACATCGACCGAGCGCCGTCCGAGCCCCTGGCCGGCCGCCGTTTGCCTGGACGTACTCATTGGTAGGGAGGTGTGCCGTAAAGAACAGCTGCAGAATTTCGTAGCAATAGCGGAAACGGCGGGTAGAAGTCTACCTACCAGACGGTCCTTCAGGCTTTACGGCGAGCTTTTGTGCACCCGTGGCTGCGTTGTGCAAGCTCAGCCACTACCCAAACCCGGCGCGGCGCAGTCTCGGCCCGGGCGGGGGGGGAGGCAGCGAGGCAAGAGCTGTCGTCACAAAGCAAGAGCTGCACTTTGTGTTTCCCTTTGCCACTGCAGCTGAGGCATCAACTATCGATCGTCAACCCAGGATCATGATCAAGCTGCAGCATACAGCTGGCAATCTTGCCAAGGAACTCCCTAGGCTGCCCGTGCTTCCGCATTATCACTAGGCACTCGAAAGTCACCCAGAGCCCAGAGCCCAGGTCCAGCGGCTGGTTCGAGTCGCACAAGGACCTTGTGGTCGCTCGCGTACTGCACAAAGCCATTGGATGCAACCACCACCAACACCCTGGCCCCCTCATCCCTCTCGACCGGCTCTTTGCAAGCCCTCCCTGGGTCGGGGCGCGGGCTTGTCCCACGATGAGCACGAACAGGAACACGGTCGTGGTGGCCGACCCCGTACGCTGCCAGTAGCCCAGCCAGCCAGCGGCGCCGTGCTTCTCAGGTCTCCGAACGGCTGGTTCTCGATACTGTCTTTCCCCCGGTCATCGTGGTCACATCAAGTTTGCGCGAAAAAGGGCCGCTCGTGTCGCCCTGGTCGCCCCGGCCGCTCGTATCTGGATGTGCGTTTGTCGTGGCGTGCAGCTCTCGATTGCGTTTGTCCCCAGACCTGGAGCCGTGGCTTTTCCCCCCTCCTTCTTCATGACGACTTCTCGTGACAGCTTCTCCATGACAGGTTTTGTGGAGAGTTGTGGTGGTGGTAATGGGCCTTGAGGTTGTTGCACGCCGTACACCATCACCGCTGCACACGTCTATCGCTGGGTCGAGACTCGAACATCCCTGAACCAGCGTTTCGTGAGAGTCAACTGCAGGCTGGTGGAAGTCTACATGGCTGTTATTTGCCACTTATTCTCTCCCATGTGTTGCTCTTCCGCGCTCAGAGCACTCCAGCCTATCCCTGCCTCTTCTTGCCATGTTTCGTGGCCACCACCGTCATGCGGGTACGCGCAGCTTCTCTGGCTTCTATGGGCTGGCTGCACGACCCGGCCGCCATACGAGACTGTTATCGTCCGGGCACGGGTAGGCGCATCGTGGTGTGACTGATCACATCCCAGCATGTCTGGCTGGCGTGTCGCCTGAGCCGAGCCGAGCCCCGTTGACGATGCTGCTCATGGGAGCGCACCTGGCTGCTAATCCTACTTCTGCCTTGCCCAGCAACAATACGAACGTCCGGCGTCATGTTCTGCAGCATAACCTGATGAGGCCGGTTGGTTTCCGACACCTGCGAGATCCGTCCCTGTTCCTGTCGTGTCCTTCTCTTTACAAATGCATGGAACATCCCCTCCCTCTGATCAAGGGCCCCTCGCCTTCCACCAGACTTGAGAGTGTGCACCAGCTCGTGGTCGTCCAGGTCTTTTGATCTTTGTCAATAAGCGAGGCTCACAACCAACCACAAGCTTCTCATGTCTATGCTACATGTCGCCGACGAGCACGCTCTCGTTTGATCACGACATCACGATTCGATAGCCCTCGGCCACCATGGCATTGAAAGGAGATGGAAGGTTCGAGAGGGAAGAGGCATGCGACGGCTCAGCCGACAGAGCTTGGGGTAGCATCGCGGCCGATGTTCCTGCGGCGCACGAATGCATTATGAGATGCCAGAGACAATTTTTCGAAAGGACCCTGACGACTTACGACTGGGCAAGCTTCAACTGGGCGCGTTTTTACGACAATGCTGAGACGATTCCTTCGGAAGCCTGCGAAACCTTGTTCGCTGCAAAAGACAAGAGGGACGGTTCTCCGCTATGGGAGCTTTATTGCTGCGACTCGTTGCTCTGCGGCGTTCAGACGAGAGAAAATCCTCGTCAAGATCGTGAGTCGGTCCTCGGGGAGTCCTGCCTTACTCTGGACCATGTGCTACGGCTCTCATTCTGACATGCCTCCCAGCCAACGTCAACAGTATCATGCTTCACTGTCAAAAGTATGTTCTTTTTCACCAGACAACCGGGGCACATGGCGCTGACAACAAGTTGACAAGTCGCGGACTTCCTCCTCTCCATGACCCAGGACCTCCCCCCGGAGGGTACTTGTGTCCTCTAGACTCGGTAGCCCAAGGTGAAGACGGGTTGCCGTGTCAGAGGGCCAATGCCAAATTCGGCGATGTCCTACCGGGATCTGCGGTAGACGGGGTTTCCATCACCGTCATCACCACCGAGACGAAGCCGCAGCCCTCTCTAACGACGACCTCTACAACCACAGCTGCTTCAGACGCAGTGATACTTGCCCAACCGGACACTTCGTCGAATTCCAATGAGGGACCTGGATCATTGTCCGCGGGTTCCAGAGCCGCCATTGCCGTCTGTTGCGTGCTTTTCCTGATTGCGTTCCTCGTATCCATCCTCTGCTACCTCCGTCGCCGACGCCAACGCGATCAGGGTTACCCCCCGAGTCTTCGATATGCCGATTCCGTCAAACCCGCCGACTCGCCCACCCCTCTCATCTCACCTACAATGTCTGCCGAAGCCCGATCCAGGGCGTCGCTGCCACCACTTCGACTTCGGGACCGAAGGCTGCTCCCCACCATCTTGACTCCAGACCCGGCCTCCAGTGATCACTTGGGTCACACGCCAGGGTCACCTCGAGCTCCACCACCAACGTACAGCAGCTTCCCCCCTTCTCCATTGCGCTCGCCAGCCACGAGCAAACTCGTGCCGCGGCATGAACACACCGTCCAAACGGAAGGGCGTTCCTCTGGCACCACGCCCACCGAGACGCTCTCCTTCCGCAGCTCTGGCAGCACCCACACCGTCGGCGTCTCGGCATACTCTACAGCCACAGCCCCGTCGCCCTCACGTCCGCCGCGGCCCCACGAATTTCCGCTCGAGATCCCCGATCTTGTCAGTCCCGGCCTCGGCCGCGGTGGGCAGACTCCGCGTCCGGGCCCCCCGCCGAATCGCTCGCTTCCGCCGGCACCGCCTGTCAGTCCTTCTTCGGCAAGCTGGCCGACGCCGTCGATGAACCACGTGCACGGCGATGTCGGCGTCGCTGTTGGTGTGGTGTCGCACAGCCCCGCACAGGGCGTGACGCTGCGGCCAGAGTCCCGGGAGCTCTGCGAGCTGACGGAGAGGTACGCGCGGGAATCGAGGGACAGCTGGGGGAGCTGGGGCGGTAACGGTGGCGGAGGTCCAGCAGTTGTGGCGCCCGACATGCAGGGGAAGGGGGCAGGGCGCACGAGAGGCCCGGTGCTAGGGGAGGCGGATCTAGAGAGGGTGGGAGGGAAGTGTTCAACTGGTTAGCCGGCTGGCCTAGGACGACACGATAAACATGGTCACGACAACGACAGTTCATGAGGGACAAGATGGCACGGATATAGATGGGTTTGCTTGAAAGATTTTACAGTCCGCACTTTAACCGCCCAGCAACTACGCGAGAAGTAGCGTTACTATTGACTTCGCGATGAAGCTGAAGGTTGCAGTTGTGACACGCTTCGGTTATGACAGTAACTTTGGTTGAGTTGTATTCGTGCCTGGAGTCATAGCCGTTGCTTGTTGGCTTCAAAGTTCGTCTTTCGGCCCGTCACATCGAGCAAGTTGTGCTGAACAGGGCCATTCATAGTATTCCTAAAGACAAAGAGCGAACCACGAAACACGCACAACACTCAGGCGTGTGTCTTTGAGGCGAGCACTGAACAGGTCATTATTTGTGCATGATCAAGTGTTGTATTCTAGAACAGGAGTAATAGTCTTGACAACCCTCAACCCTCAAATGCTTGAGTAGACTGCCATCTCTATAACATCCTGCTGCCGTCGGGCACACAATCCGCCGCTGACCACCGTGCATCGAAAACCACATATTATCAAACACAGCAACAGCCACAAACATGCAACAGCCACGAAACGCTCTCCGCAGGGTCCCAAAGTTCGGCGAGCCGGGCGGTCGGGCGCCCCCATGCCGGAGACCACCCAGCCACTCCGTCAAGGTGAGTCTCCCCGCCCTCGTCGGCACAGCGCACCGCAACACGGTCGTCCTGCATTTCGCGACGGCGGACGAGTTCCGGAGGCACACGCGCGACGCGCAGTCCCTCGCGCGGTGGATCTGCAGGAGCATCCCCCGCGACCTGGCCGAGCTGTACCCCATGCGCAGCCCCGTCGACCTGCCGTGCGGGTGGCGCGTGCACGTCCTCTGGCTGGATCTGCAGGCGAAGCGAGACACCGTGTCGCGCGCGAGGGCGCTGGCGCTGTACGGGCCTGCGCAGTTCGAGGCGGACATGGCGGCCATGGAGGGTAGGGCGTTCCGCGACGCCATCTGGATAGGGGAGGAGGGGGAGACGGCCCCGGAGAGGGGGGGGGGCGGTCGACTTTCGGTACTGGGGGCTGCGCAAGGCTGATGAGTGGTTGTGGGTGTAGCGTCAGGACGGTAGCGCAGAGTCGCGGAGGCCTTTGGCGGAGAGACAGATGACCACCCAAAATAACCCATCTCGAACAGCCTGGCGGCCTGTCCGAATGGGTGTTGTCCCAGGGTTCGTTTTCTCTGTTCGATTCTCTCCCATTCGTTCGAAAGCCGTTCTTCTCGGTGCCGTCTTCACCCAGCGAGCGGGTTGGCGTGCACAGTGACCTTTTCAATGCGTATCGGCTCCTTCGGGCGGCTCTTCTTGTCAATCTCGACGCGTTCAATCTTGGCGAGCGTCGCGGTGCTCTCGTCGCCGAGCAGGTGGCCGAACACAGTGTTGAGGCCGTCGAGGTGCGGCGCCTTGTCGAAGAGGATGAAGAACTGGGAGCCGTTCGTGCCAGGGCCCTTGTTGGCCATGGAGATGGTGCCGCGCGCCGAGTGACGCAGCGCAGGCCGGATCTCGTCTTCAAAGGTGCCGCCCCAGATGGAGCGGCCGCCTTTGGGGTTGTCGGGCGGTGAGGGGTTCGCAGGCCCGCCCGTCTGGACCATGAAGTTCGGTATCAGACGGTGGAGGGGGGAGGCATCGTAGTAGCCCGAGGCGCAGAGGGCGAGGAAGTTCTAGGCATGTTGGGTGAGCTGGAGGAATCTGGGCGAGGCATTGCTGCACTGCGACGCTCGGAAAGAAAGCTTACCTCTGCGGTCTTGGGCACGCTCTCGCAGAAGACCTCGATCTTGAGGTCTCCCAAGGTGGTGTGTAGGGTGACGGACATGGTTGCGACGGGTTTGGGGGTGGTTGGCGCAGGACGTGTGTAGGGCGCAGAAAGAGGAAAGGCAGGCGATGGGATGGGAATGAAGCTGGAAGGTTTGCAACTGTCCAAGCTTCACCGAGTTTCTCCACCGAAAACTTCCCCACCCATAGGAAGCACAGAAGGGTTTCACAGAAAGCCGACAAGCGCGAGCAGATCAGAGGGAGATGAGCGGCTGCTCGTGAAGCAAAACCGTCCATGTTGGTATTAGATTGTATTCAACATTCGTTTATCTCGCTGCCACAAGAAGAATACTTTCGTTGTGAAAATACACCAGCATGATTGATGAGAAGATGAATCTTATCGCTCCGCGAAAGAAAGTCTTCTGCTGCCTTCTTGACGTCAAGGTACCTAGCCAGCGATTCGAGGTCGATCTGCAAAACCTCAACTTTGCCAGGCTTACCGTCCGACAAGATAGATCTGGCAGCTCTTTTACTCTTTGCACATCACGAACGCCAATGAAGACGTCGGCGCCAGTGGCGTGTAGAGCACGCGCTGAGCGACGCCGATGTCTCCAGGACTGCACCCATTCGCAATGGCGACTTGACCAGGCCATACGCCGAGGAGCCTCTGGTTCTAGAGGATTTGAAGGGCCGTTGGGCGAGGATCGCCGGGGCCGGCCAGGTTTTCAAGCTTGTGCTGTTCAGCATATGGGTCCAAGCGAGCCATAATGTCGGCAGAGGGTATTGATACTGCTCGCGAGTACAGGGTTCGTCGACTGGTACCTGTGTGGAGAGGTAAATCGTATTGCTGATCTTTTCCATGAGGCACCAGTTTCCACACGAGCATTTCTTCTGGTTTGGCGGCAAGACTGTTATCCCCTTTTCTGGAAGACTTAAGCACAGAGGCTGAAGTGTGGGCTGTGCCGACGCCCGTTATCCTTCGCGAACTCGTCCTACTATTTCATTTTGCTTTCGTTAGAACGGTGACGGACAACCTGGTTTGAGAGGACTGCAGAACTTAAGCTTGATTGTTGACAAACCTGGAAATGCAGCAATGTAGATGCTGGGATTCCGCAATATCCGCACTCGTTCCGACTCGGGGTTGAACGGCATGTACATCAAGGGATGACGGAGTCAGTAATCCTCAAACTCATATACTTCGCCTGAAAAGACAGTGTTACTACCTGCCTAGGTAGGTAGGTACATCCCGCCAACCTACACGTGTGACGTCAAATGATGAAACATGGCTGAGGTGCTCATCAGGTCCAGCCTCAATTTAACTACCTCCCTACTACCTTCGGTGCCATGGGACTTGGGTCATGTACGCATCGTTAGGCAACGGCCTTTCGATCACCTATGTCAATACTGCGCTCTTCTATGTCCAATTATCTCGTGTCGAAGCTTCACCACTCTACAAGAATTCACGAGTACTATCACAAAGCACCCAGTCGTATTGGGTTGCTCTTGCACATTCCTTACCTGCTGTCGTACAGGCAAAGTCCTCGACTGTGCTCGCTCGAGCAGAGTCTTTCCATCGTCAGGCATGCCTTTTGCTCAGTCCTTTCTGATGCTTGCTCTTTGTCCCCCTAGCCTTCGTTCGTTCTTGAGATTACCCACATGAGCGCAATAGCATCCTACAATTCTGATCTGCATTGATGGATCATCACAGTTGGCGGGTATTTACACCTCAATGTTCAGAGAACAGAGCTCGGTAGCTCTGCCTTTGCTTCTTACCTGTAGTATCATGTTCTGGCCGACGGAGCCCAGGTATTTCTCAATTTCATCCAGTCTCATTCCAGTTCTTGACCCTTTTACTGTGCCCGTGGCCACAAGCTCGCTCATTGCCTTGCTCATAGCCTTTTGTGTATGTGTACACGTGTCTTGATATACTTATGTTCGATGTGAAGCATCCTTCAACAAGCTGTGATCGGTAGGTGCTAGGCTCGGGCCGCGGCCTACCTTCGAGGCTCAACCCAGGCCCATGCCAAGCAGACCGCGGGTCCCAGTTGAGGACCCCTCACAACGTGTCTTGCCCGCAGCTCTGGCATTTTGAAGACTGCCTGTTCTCTGTCTTCGTGATGCCAACGCCCCCATCTCCTGGTTCCCTGTTCCTTCTCGTGTTTTTCTTTCTCCCTCCTACCTTCTCTTTCACCCTCTCTTCCACCTCTACCTCCTCCTTTCTATTCTTCACATAACCCTCTTTTCTCCCAGATCGGTACATCACCCTGCAAGTTCCCTAACAAATACTATCTTAGGCTATGTATTGACTCTGGTGGTGCAGATTTTGGGAGTGAGTGTCTCTTCCTCTCTGAGTAGACACGTCCCCTCCCGAGCAAGACTCTCGGTTTCTCAGCAGCCTCGGCAGGCCACACTTCGATAGGGACACAAAATCTCCCTCCTATCACTTTGTCAGCAAGCTCATCAAAGCTGAAAACGGCCAGGCCTCAATCTCTCCCTAGGTCTCACCCCACAGAGCACCTAGTCTGGCGGTTTGGGCTCTCGCGGACATCTCTCAGGCTACAGACTGGCAGAGACTACCTTGACGACCTGATCTCTCAGACGGCGGGAACAACCATCCCAGGATCCCTAGGCTGGATTGAATCTGGCAAGGCTGGTGAGAACCCGAGATTCTCTGGTATTCTTTCAGGGCTTGCCATTCCATGATCTTCCAAGCAGGGCATACTTTCGACGACAAAGCTGTGCTAGCCGCGGGCAACGTTCTCGGGGCTCGCTTTGGCTTGGTACGAAGACACCTACCTCTACCTCGCACTTGCTCTCTTCCATCCTTTTACAAGTTCATCCCTTTCTTCTGCTGCGAAAATCTCAACCTACACAACTTAAGGTACGAGACCTTGCAGCATTGTGCACCGGATCAGTGCCACTGCCAGTCCTTCTGAACAACTTGACCAGGCTCCTTCTGTCAACCAGGTTTGTTGTCCTTTCTTCGTCACAATCTTTGCCCTTCCTCGTTGTGTTACTTGGCTGGGAGTTGTTGTGCTGGTTTGCATGGCCATGGCAGCGCTCGGGGCGTCAAGTTGGACTGCCATGACACGACAACCCTTTTCCCAAGTCGCGCCCCTATTCACCCCACACTCACCTTGATACACCGATACACCGAGACTCGCCGAGTATCATCAGGCACTGGGGCCTCGCCTATGACCATGGCCTCTTTCGTCCCATGCTTCCTTCGGGCTCCTGCCTAAGTCGTTTCTGCTTCACTGGAATTCCTGTCCCAGTTTATATCCTTCACGCTCTTTTTCTTTTGCCCTTCCCAAATCCCACCCCTCTCGTCTCTTTCTCCAACCTTCGACTCCCCCTTGGCAGGCATACTTTACCACACAACTCAAATCGCCTGGACGACCCCTTTTTGATCACTCTACCTGCAAATCGGGCATTTATTTCTCATCAAGCTGGTGAAAAACCACGTGAGCATGGCTGACCAGAAGAAGCAGCCGCCCTCCGCAGTTGATATCCTGAGCATTAGCGTTGGTCTCTGCCGTCCTGGCACCAACGTACCCAAGAACCCAATCGCTCCTTCATCGTATACCCCTGCGAGATACGGTCAGAATTTCGCGAAGCAATCAACTTCATCTCAAGCTCCTTCAGAGATTTCAAACGAATCAAGGAATACATCCCAAATGGCTCACTGCCAGCTCCGCGGTCCCCTCGTGGGCCCGCTGCGTGAGCGACGTCGTTCCGAGCTTTCAGCCCACCACGTAAGTCAACCCGCTCCTGATATCTCGCCAGAAGCATGGCTGAGAAGCTTTGGCATATGAACTGACGATCTCACAGCCCGTCTGGGATCAGGCTCGCAACTTCCAGTCTGACCTCATGACCATCCAGCAGGCCATCCGCCGCGCGCCTGGCATCCCCAGCAAGGTCTCGGAGGAGCTCTGTGGCGTTCTTGTCAACCAGTCGCAGCAGGTCAACAATGCGATCCGCGAGACTGTTGACGACTCGTCCGAGTTACGTATTCAGGTCGAGGAGGCCAACATGGCGATCATGAGTCTCAAGATCAACGATACTGCTGTCAAGGTCGACCTTGAGCAGAACCAGAAACGCATCAAGGAGCTCATTGAGATGGAAGAGAAGGCCGAGAACCGCCTGGCAAAGTACCATACCGACGCTGAAAAGGATCGCAACGAGATTCGTGTCATTCTGGCTCGCCTCACTGCCAATGAAGAGGAGGAGGCGAAGACCAAGATCAACGACGAGCTCATCGCTGTGAGTAGCGCTAGCATGTATCCAACTTTTCCCTCCCACTGACTGTCGCTATTGTAGACCCTGAAGGAACAGCTGAGCGCCAGTCACTCCATCGAACCCGAGCCTGACAGCAAAGAGCCCACTGCCATCGACCAGGCCATGGCCAAGTTTCAAGAGGCGCAGGCTCAGGAGGGTGTGAATGGAACTGGCTCGACCGAGACCAACCCTGCCAACCTGCCCTCTCTCGATGTCGCTGATCTTGCCAACGTGACTCCCACACGTGGCAGTAACATGCATCTCGTTTCTTCATATGGAAACCGTGACATGGTTCGAGGGACCTTTGCCGGCGAGTCAGCCTTCTCGCCCCTCAACATCAAGAATAGCGGCAACGGCCTCCCTGGCACCATGCAGCCTCCTTCCTGGACCCGACCCAACAGCCGGGGCATGCCCGAGAGCATCAACGGCCTCGGCAGTACCATCATGCGCAGCGCCACTCCTGCTAGCCAGAACGGCTTCAACAGCGGCGGGGCTATCGTGTTCGGTCGCCCCATGAGCCGCATGGGTCAGCATGGCGGAGCTGGTCCTCGCTCCGGCCCTCCTGCCTTCCGGCCTAAGGCCCCGGAATTCCATCCTGGTCACAATGGTCTCAACGGCAGCGGCAGCGGCTCGGGCCACGGCAATGCCATTGTCCAAATGTCGAACACGTCTTGGAGCCAGCACCAGCGTGGCTACGGACCCAACCAGTCTCCCGGCCCACACCACGGTCATCCTCGCTCCCGCGGTGGTTCCCAGGGCTGGCAAGATGGTCAGAATGGTGGCTTTAACCACTCCGGCCCCAAGCGTCCCCAGTGGACCAACAGTCAGTACGATAACCGCGCCGTCGTCGCTCGTTCCCAGCCCGTCATCCCTCTCGGCCAGACCTACGGAGGCATCACTGACGATCTCGGCCGATTCGAGGAGGCTTTCCAGGAGCTCTTTGGTATTGCTCGTGGCTTTATTGGCACCTGGCTTGGCGCAGAGGACGCTGCCAACAATCGTGAAGCTGCCATCATCCAGTACTTGCCCAAGGTCTACCACCCGTTCACCGAACAGCAGGCCTGGTCCTACATTCGTCAGCATCTCAATGACAGCCTCGCCCGCTCTTGCCTATTTGCTCGTGTCGTCGTCGACTTCATCGTTCAACGTATCCTGGTGCCCACTGCCTGGCAGGGCTTCGGCTTCCAAACCGATCGCCGCATCCAGCAGGTCGACGAGGAGCTTTCTCGTGGTCCCAGTAGGTCCTTTCTTGAATTACATGCATCTTGTGTCCAGCTTTTTACTAATGCTTTTAGTGATGACCGGCTCCGCCCGCAACGAGTACAACAGTGCCGTCAGCGAAATCGTCAACTCGATTCTCGACAACGAGCGCTACGAGCAGTACCGCGAGAGCCGCATCGAGTACTTCGCCACTGAGCTCCAGAGCATGCTCGGCCCGCTCATGAACGAGTTCGCCGACCTCGAACAAGCCGGCAACGACCTGCGCTCGGTCGTCGGCAAGGCATGGTCCCTCTCGGCCAAGACGCTCACCTCGCGCATGACCTTTGAGTACCGCTTCCCCGAGGCCGGCTGCCGCTTCTCCATGCAGAGCATGGTCGCCGTCGCCCCCAGCATTGACGGCTACGTCCTGCAGGCGGAGCACTGGCGCGTCCAGCTTGTCGTCACGCCCGTCATCACCGTGCGCAACGACAACGGCAGCACCCTGTCCGTCCACGTCACCAACCTCGCCGAGGTTCTGCTTATGAAGTGAGGCAGATGCTGCTCCTGCTTCCGATCGGCATTGCATGGTCTTTATTGCTGTGCTTTTGTGGCCTTTCGCAGGGTGATGCCGGTGCATCGAACCCTGGCACGCGTTTTGCACTTCCTCTTCGGCGAGGGACCCGTGCCTGCCCTCTGCGACATGGGTACTCCGATGCCATGAATCCTCGCCTCCCAGTAGCGGCGAGTTTGGTCTTCGAGCCGGCTTCTTGTCGCCGCGCATGCTTTATGATTATCACGACATTGTACGAAGATACCCAGGCCGCATCATTTCCTGCTCTCTGTTTTCCTTCCGACGGCCACTTCATGAGCGTTACATGATGCCGTCGTCATTGATGACTAGCCCTCGGGCAGTATAGCCATCGAAACCCACAGACGGCAAATGAGCACATCGTATTTTCCTTTTCTTTCTTCTCATTCGGCGGCTTCGGTTTTTCGTTTATCGTTTTGCATCAAGGTCCCTGGAAGACTCCACACTCGTCACACTTTGAATCCGGCCCGCCTTCTTTTCGGCAGACTTGATGTGGCAAGGCAGAATGTGGTCGAGCGCTTCGACGGCACATCACGAGCTAAACATGACCTTGACAGTTTGGTTTCGTCTGGCTTGGTTCTTCAAGGGACGGTTTCTTGCGGTTTTGTTTACATATTTCGGGGTAGGGACCGGAATTTTTTCGCCTCTGCTACGCTGTCTGCTGCGGCGCGTTTTGACTGCGGCAACTGGCGAGGGGCTGCCGTGCTCTGCCATGGAGGCCGAGAGACCAGCTGGAAGATACGTGTGTCACCTGGTCAACTGGTCCTAGGTGGATGTCGGCTGAGTGAGGAAGGCTTGGCCTCCATGGGCGTTTCGTTACGAACATTAGAAAACCACAGAATAAATCGGTAGCAGATCCAGTGTTGCACGTGATGAGCTGTGCAACTCGACATATGAGCCCCTCTGCTTAACGCGCTGCAAGCAACAAGCATATCGTTACGGCCTACACTCTGCCCTACCATTCACCATTCATCCTTTTGCTCAAACAAGAAAAATTAGGTAAGGTATGGAACTTATGCTGGTAGGCCATCATCGCATGAAGGCAACGTAAATGTAAAGTTGGTTTAGATAAATACTTGCAGGATTTGGCAAAGTGGTCATGTTTTCAAAGGTCAACAGGGGCTTCCGTATTATCGACCCCTATCAGAGATAAAGAAAACCCCGTTCTAGAAAACATCCGGAAGCACTGAAATTCATGCGAGGAATCCTGGGTATCTCGCGACCTGGCTACGAGCTCTCCTAAGGAGACTAAAACGCCGAAACACCTGTGAGAATCACGCGTCTGAATAGAAACACCGAACGGTGCCCGATTATGGAGCGAGATGCCGCGCAGATCGGCGGCTCTCGCCGCTGGCCCTCCGTCTGTCGAGCCTCTTGACAACGGCACCCAGCACTACCTTCAATATGTTGCTGGCTGATAGCGTGTTGTCGCCGCCCTTGTTCCACGTTACGGTATCGACCATGTCTCTGACACCACCATCAACGAGCTCAGCCAAGCCATCGTCGAGCTCCTTCAAGGCCTCGCGCGCGCCCTCTTCGTTTCCGACCTGGAAGAACTGGATACCAACCTGGTACGGAGGTGCATCAATCTTGTCAAGCTTCTTGGCAGCGTTGATGAGGACCGTCTCGACATCATCAGAAGGCACGCCATCGGTGATGACGATGATGTTAATGGGCTTGACGGACTCAATGTCGGCCTCGTTGGCGACGCAGAGAGCGAGGTAGGGCTTCAGAATGGCGTGGAGGCGAGTGCCAGTAGGTGTGCCACCAGAAGGGCGAACGGTGGCGAAAATGTTTTCGACTCTCGCCGCGTCGTTGATCCCACGGAAGCCGCCGGCAGCAGAGCCCTTGGCAGCGGGCTGGGCGGATTTGTGGTTGAGGAAGAAGAGGTCGATCCCGTCGGCGTCGTGGGCCGTGCAGATTGGGGTGATGGCACGCAGAGCATCTTTAACCTCGCGCCATGAGCGACCAGCCATGGAGCCGGAGTCGTCAATAACGAAAACCGTATCAAATTGTGCTAGGAAAGCATACGGGTCCTCTTCGTTGGTGACGCTGGTCAGGGAGACCTGAGAAGTGTGCGAGGGGGCGGGAGAGGTACTGCGTGGGGCCGGGGTGGGGTTCTGGGGCATGGGACCGGTGCCGACCTCAATACTGGGAACATCGGCGTAGGCAGGGGGGGGTTCCGGTCGGCGAGTGGCGGGAGATGGATTGGAGAACGGATTGTTGTTCGTGGTGCGGGCCACCGGCGTAGGTGCCGGGGCAGACACCTGGGCTGGCGCCGGTGCTGGCGAAGGCGTGCGTGCTGACGCAATGTCCTTGTTCGTCGTGGGACCAGATGGGGTTGTGTCGCTGGACTTTCTCGACAGCTTTTCCTTGACGGAGCCGAAGAAGGATTTACGCATGGCGACGGTGTCTCAGTTCGCAATAAGTCTGAGAAGGGCTGCCGGTAGAGTCGGGGGAGAAATGCTCAACAGAACAGCAAATTGTCCTTGGATGGTTGCTGATTGCTTGGTTGATCACGGGGCGTACCAACAGGCCACCAAGTGTTTGGTGGATGAGGCCTGACGGCAGAGGTTGGGTGAAAAGGAGGGGTAAAGTAAAGTAAGCAGCCGCGAGAGCGAGCGCTTGAGCAATCAAATCAGGAGACGCAGTCAGGGTTTGAGGCGCTCACGTTGGGGGCGTGCGTTCAAAGTAAAGATGTTGTATTCTATTGATGGATTCGATATTGGTGGTTCCTTTCTTTAAGGCAATCCATGTCAACTGCAGCAGCTCTTGTCGGTTGAGATGGAACTCTGTAAATGTTCAAAGGATGTTGAATGGATCAGCCTTGTGAGCCTTGCTACCACGGTCAGTCGAAGAAATCATCCGCATGCAGCCTGGTCAGCAGGAACGCCTCCGTGTTGGGCCTTCCTCTAGGCACCTCCTCTGGCCATTGGTGGTCGCGGTGGCGGTCGAAGATCAATAGAGCCAAATGAGGCGGCCCGGAGCGGGGAAGGAGCAATGGTCAATGTGGCTGGGGCTCTACACTTGTTCCAATTCAGAAGGCATGCGCCACACAAGAGGGAGCCAATGCCAGAAGATGACCCGTGCGCTCCTGCTCCTGTTCCTCCTCTTGACTGCCTTGCGGTGTGCCTGCTCACATGCGCTTGCCTGTCCGCCGACTTGCCCCGTAGTCGGAGGTGGGGTACTTGTTAGGACTCAGAGTCTTCTGGAGCCAAGTCCGCTTCCACATGACTGCACTCTCGAGACTTCCTCTCTCCTCCTGATCTACTGTCTCGTCTCCTCTATCCTTCCTTGTTTACATCTCTCCGTTCTGATCTCTCCGTCTAGCAGGAAAATCACCTTCGCATCCTTCGAGAGCGTCACCGACATCGGGCAAGCGGGGTACAGAGAGTGCCCGCTACGAGTCATTGATGCCATACAAGCGGTGTGTTGGCCCCGTTATATTCGGTGAAGACCGGGCTGCCTTACGTAAGGCAGCGGGGTGCCGCTCAACGGCGGAAGTGGACAAGCCTGAAAGCCTGAGGAGCTCTGTTACACCAGGGCCCTAAGCGTCCCAAGCGCCCCAAGTCCCCCCACCGACATGCCATGCTCGGGCGTTGACGGTACCTGCGAGGCCCTGATCATCTCCAATCATGGCCCTGCCTCGACTCGCGATACACATACACAGACCAACAAGCCAGGGGCCTGAAGCTCCTGTGCCTATCTCGAGTGGGTGGTTCTGAGGGGCCTTAGCCTTTTGGGAGTGGATGGGTAGACGGCACGAGACGACACAAACGAGAAGCGAGGAGCGGGAAGCGGGAAGCGAGAATCAAGAATACAGCGACGGGATCGAGCAAAAACGCGTGCACCTGCATCTGTACTCCCATTTGTCGGCCCCCCTCCTCATGCTTCTGGGTTAACATCCTGCGTACTTATAATCAAGATACGCCATCGACGCCCAATTTTGCCAAGCGGGCCCTCTCGTTTGCTCTGCCCTCTGCCTCTGATTTTGTCTTGTCAACAACGTCATTCGACTGCATCCTGGTTTTGCAGGTCTCGAACTCAGTTTTCCACACCACTTTTCTTCCCCGTCTTTGCTGCCCTGTCTTACCCTAGGTAGGTATTGATTACCCGTTGCCTGGTCAGACGAGAAACGCTGCCCGCCATGTTCGCCAACCGCAAGTTCTCCATCAACCGCCACACCGGCGTCCCCAAGCCCGTCGCCGGTGCTCACGGCGCCCGGAGGTTCAGCGTTGGGGAGCCCTCCCAAAGCGGTGAGTCCGTCCCTGACTCGTCTCATTTTCCCCTGCCGCCGTGGAATCAGTATTTGGTCTCGTTCCTTTCCCTTGCTTCTCTCATTTACGAGACTGCCTCGTTCAACTTGAAATGCACCCAGCGAGACGGCGAAGTCAAAGAGACTGCCCATAGTGCGGGGTCCTGAGGTCTGAGTATCTGGGGAGGGTCTGAGGGCAATGGGCCGCAAGGGTTCAGTTGATCAGTCGGTCAAATCGCAGATACACCGTCTCGCAAGACTGCAGAGGAGGGGTCGTTGTGAGCCCCTCCATTATCTGCATTTGGGACCTGTCTGACCTGACAGATCACATTATCCCCCCCTCCCCCCTTCACCCTGGCTCCTCCCGTCTTGGCACTCCGATGACGGCGCCGGCTTACCTCCCCATTCCCTCCGTACTCCGATGTCTAACCCAACCTCTGCCGATACCTTCATCTCCGTCTCCCGGCTGCGACTGACGACCCTCCAGAAACGCAGTCGCGCACCCATAGGCAGTTTCGCCAGGATGGCCACATGCCCCATGCCGGTCTCGATGCGAGCCGCGCCTCGACCGGCGTCGTCTGGTGCACCGAGCGCGCCTCTGAGTATGGCTATCTCGAGGAGCCCGAAGAGTGGGCCAACCTCGGTCAGGGCGCTCCCGAGGTCGAGGACGACATTACCGGCTGCTTCGAGCGGCCCCAAATGATCGACATCTCCGTCGCTGGTCGTGAATATGGCCCCACCGCCGGCATCCGGCCCTTGCGTGAGGCCGTCGCCAACCTCTACAATGACATGCACCGCAAAGGCAAGGAGAGCCAATACACCTGGGAGAACGTTGCCATCGTCCCTGGCGGTCGCGCTGGCCTCATCCGTATCGCCGCTGTTCTAGGATCTTCGTATCTCTCCTTCTTCCTGCCTGACTACACTGCCTACAACGAGATGTTGTCCCTCTTCAAGAACTTTGCCGCCATCCCTGTGCCCCTATCCGAGGAAGACGGTTACCACATCCACCCCAATAAGATTGCTGAGGAGATTGCTCGCGGCTCCTCTGTCATTCTGACCTCGAACCCCCGGAATCCCACTGGTCGTGTCGTCTGCAACCCCGAGCTTGCCGAGATTCAGGACATCTGCCGTGGCCGCGCCACCTTCATCAGTGATGAGTTTTACTCTGGTTACAATTACACCAGTGACTGTGACGGCTCCACGATCTCTGCTGCCGAGAATGTCGAGGATGTCGACGAGGATGATGTCCTCATCATCGACGGCCTGACGAAGCGCTTCCGTCTACCCGGCTGGCGTATCGCGTGGATCCTTGGACCCAAGGAGTACATCAAGGCGTATGTAGCAAGGGCGGCCCCGATGCCACGAAATGGAACATCAGCTGACTTGACCTATGCAGCATCGGATCTTGTGGTAGCTACCTCGATGGAGGTGCTAACCACCCCTTCCAGGAGGCTGCGATTCCCATGCTCGAGCCTGAGCTTGTTAAGAGGGAGATGATCCATCTCCAAACGCACTTCCGAGTTCGTTCCGCATCACGACAGAAATGGAGAGAACCCCTGAGCTAATATCCTTGCCAGGATAAGCGTGATTATGTCGTGAAGCGTCTCCGCGAGATGGGCTTCATCATCAAATACGTGCCCGACTCGACCTTTTACCTGTGAGTATCCTGCTCATCTCCCGTCTTCGCCTACTTGGGGATCGATTTCGTTTTCCCTGTGTATTTCTTCCCCGTTCGTCGGTTCTTCGCTGACCGAATAGGTGGCTCAACCTCGAGGGTCTGCCCCGACCCATCGCCGACGGCCTAAACTTCTTCCAGGCTTGCCTCGAGGAGAAGGTTATTGTCGTGCCCGGCATCTTCTTCGACCTCAACCCTTCCATGCGCCGTGACCTGTTTGACAGCTCGTGCCACCACTTTGTTCGCTTCTCGTACGGACCCAAGATGGACGTGCTGCGCAAGGGATGCGACGGTATCGAGAGGGTCATCACCAAGTATGTCGGCCGAAGAGGATACATCGGAAGCCCCGTCTCAAGTCGCGCGAGTGCTGACTCTTTGGTGATAGGTACCGCACATCCACAATGGGTAGTGCGATCGAGGAGTAGGTCGATCGAAGCTGACTGTGGGATGTCCGCCTGTCTCCCAGCCATCCCTGACCGCTCTTGCGGCATCCAAAAAAGAAGTTCCCAGTCAGAGCGTTGGAACGTTGGTAAGCGTCGAACGAACCAGGTGAGGGAAATAGGGGTTACAGTGTTGTGCCAGCCTGACCAGGGGGGGCTAGGCCGGGGATGTCTGGGCCGCGCCACACCATTCGTACCCCTTCCTGAACCCTTTTCAACTCCGTCGGCTGTGACTATTGTAGATGGGCCTGGCTGGCCGGCTGGCTGTGTCGAGGGCCAGCTCTCGGGTCTCGGAGAAACACGACAATACAGACATGGGCGTTGCGTTGATCCGGGAGGGCGAGCTTGTTCATCCCCACTGAAACCCGACGTGGTGGGTGGCCTGTGGGCATGTCTGTGTGCGTGTGCATATGTTTGGTTTAGCCGTGATCTTCCTGGATCAGGAGACAGATTTGACCAAGACGAAATTTTCTTTCTCCCTCTTCCAAGACCATGCCTGTCCTGTCTGTCCGTGCCTGCTACCCGAGCTGAATGAAGATGACCGCCGGAAACCCCCACTGGCGGGCCCTCTCCGTCGCGGCTGGCTTCAAATTGCCTTCTCCAGTGCATTCTTGGTATGATTACCGATGGAGACGGCGAGAGCAGACTCTGACAAACATCCACCGAGGGATTCGCCGTGATGGATCCAGAGGGAGGAGCCATTCATCCCAAACCCCCCTCCCCCAACCCCTTTCCGACCTGCCAGAAGGGGTCACAACCTTGCCTCTTCGGTGAAATGGTACCATCGCAGTCCGCTGCAAGACGTAGGCAAGGTTGCAGAGAAGAACCAAACTCTGCCGCCCCTTGTCCGCTCCTCTCCCCTTCCCCGTCGAGTTTCCCGCTCCACCAAACCCCCACGCTTACTCGTAGACAATCATCACGTCAACCCCCCTTCAGGTCTCAGGGTCGGATGGCAGGAAAGCGAGGTGCAGACAAGAAAGAGGAGACGGGGGAGGGGGGCTTGACCAAGGTTTAGTAAATCTCCGCAGGCACGACGGAGGGGGAGACAGATGAGGCGGGTAGGAGAGGCGGTTGATGGTAGACATACTGAGGTATAGGCGGGTAGGCAAGGCAGGCAGACAGACAGGCAGGCGCGAGGGCGAAGTTTCCCGCCACGAGAAAATCACCCGCTGAATCGAGCACGCCATTGCGTCCGCGCGACGCAGTCACGCCTTCGTCCGGATCCCCCAGAGACCGGGCAGGCAAGTGCCAGGGGCTAGGCAACGTGTCATGGGAAGGGCCGCCGAAGCCTTCACACAGGAGAGCTGCTGATTGAAGCTCCATGTACCTACTTTTAAGAATACAGATGCTTGATTGTTTTGGCTGCCTGGCGAGATCCATGTTCGCTGCTGCAGCGTGAAGTGAAAAACGTACCGACATGCTACTTTGTACCTACCTGCCCACCTACCGTGTACTAACCTACCCAACCCACCTAGAAAGCGGACTGTCATGTTACACTTGGAGCAATACCCCCAACTGGGGACACACATATTGGGGCGGAATTTGGCCCCAGCCTTCTCTGTCCGTGGGTGTGGCCCCGCACACCCGAGCACGTCACCGGGCCCTGAAATATCGACATCGCGGCTCGAACAGACAAACCAGACACAGAGAGACAGGAACGACGGGGGGAGAGGGGGGGGAGCGGGTTCCTCCAACCCCCCCACTCCGCTGTACCATTCGCCGTAGCTGCCTTGCTTTGCTTGCCTTTTCACTGCCTACCGGAGTGTGCGTGCTGTGCGTGCTTTTGGTCGTAGGCGGTCTTGCCACCACCACCGCGACCACCACCATGTCATCCATGATCACACCCCGGACCTGGCATCCATGTCGTATCGACCCTTCTTTTTCGCTCATCCCGCTGCTGGCCGAACGGAGGACAAGGAGAATGCCAAGACGTCGGCGGAGCATAGGAAGAAAAGATAGACTCCAAACGAAAAGACGAGGAAGGAGGGACGTCTTTGGGGTGGTGCTGGAGAGCGGAGTGCTGAGCGGCAAGCTGTTTGACTGCCGCTTAGGTACCCAGTGTAGTGGCAGCGAGGCCTTGCGCGAGTCACTTCATTCGTGCCTCTCAAAATGCCCTCCTCTCATAGTCGATTACTGAGGGACGGAGATAAACCTCGACGACGGCCATGCATCTCAAAGCCGATCTGTTTGCACGCATGCCCAACAGTATCATCCTTACCAGATGCCCGGTCGGCGTGTAGTTTCTGCGGTCACTGCCGTGCGCTAAAGCCTGGCCGGCCTGGCTCAAGGACGGGAGGAACTATGATGTGCTGCTAGCTACTTGTTGCTCATCAGGGGCCCTGGCTGAGCATCCGTGTTCGTCATTCCGGGGAGATGGGATTTGACGTCTTTCACGCGTTTCTGACTCTGTCATGATGCTTAATGGCGTATGGAACATGATGAACAAAGTGCTGTAATTTCATTCGTGCTGAGCAGGTAATTGCTGCCTCCTTAAAACGGTCCCCCTGTATATCTTATTTAGATATTCTTCGCGCGCAACATGAAAAATAACCAACATAACCAAGCGTCAATAAATCATAACCATGATAGCCAGGCCAGGCAAGATGCCATCCATCTTCCCAGCGACTGTCCGAGACATCTGTTTGATGCTTGGTCTCTCCCCAAGTCAGCCATCCCTACCCGCCTCGTGCCTACTGCAAGACTCGACCTGCACGTTAAAGAAGGCCCACGCCAACCCCAGTCTAACGCCGCCTTCATGCAAAATGATACAGACTCTCCGCCAGCACCACGACAAGACGTGGAATCCGTGGAATCGGCGGTCTTCAACGGATTGCGTACAGTGCGTCGCATGGCTAGTCTTCGTCCTTCACGTCGGAAGAGCGCGATGACGCGGTGGAGGCCTTGCTGGCCTTGTGCTTGCTGTCGAACTCCTTGAACATGGCGGTGATCTCTTCGTTGCCGTCGTTCTTCTCCATCACAAGATTCTTGAGCCATCGGTTCTCCGTCTCGAGGAGGTTGATGCGACTCTCCAGGGCGGATACCTTATCGGACATGTCTTTAGCGCTCTTCTCGAGGGCTTGCTCGCGCTGCTTCTTCTTGATGCGGAAGCGGGCACTGGCGGCCGTGTTACGCCTGCGCTTGTCCTCCTCGGCGGCAACGCGGGAGTGCTCCTCAAAGCCCTGGATGGGTCTGTTCACGGGGTTCAACACAACGCTTCCCTTCCTGCTATCACCGGCGCCCGGCGTAGGCGGGGAAACATACGCGTTCTGCTGCTGGGGCATTGGCGGCGGGGCGTAGTGCTGCTGGGGGTTGGGTTGCAGAGGCTGGAGGTTGCCCAGGCCCTCGTGGAAGGACGGGACGCCCGGGCCATGGTACGTGTTGAAGTTGTCGAAGTTAAAATCGCCTGTCATTGTCAGAGTCGGATCGTCGCGGGTCGAATTACAGTATCGAGCGTGGAGGTCTTGGCATCGTGGCGTCGCGAGAGGATGGGATGGGGTCGTCGGTGATGGCGAGGGTTTGACGATGGCAGACTTGTGGATGGAAAAGGAGGACAAGACGAGATCGGGGAGCAAGAGGGAAGGAGGGTATCAGTGAAGCCCGCCGGATGGCATGGCCGCCCATCGCGAAGAGGTACTTGATCTTCGCTGGCCTGGCACTCGGCGGCAGCCCTGATGCGTCGCAACGGCCGCTGCCCCTGCTAGGGTGATGACGGCAAGTCACGGGATATCGCATCATCCATCGTCCTGGTGGTGAGCTTGGGCGCTGCACCAACCAGAGAAACCTCCCCACCCGACTTGCGAGGATGCATTAAAGGCGCTGCATCCTCCCAATGAAGGGGCGGGAGACGGCATGCTCTTCTGCATGACAGGGTGGGGGAGAGTCGCCGGCGCCCGCTTGGGTTCCCTGTAGACCCTGTCTTTTTCGGCTCTTCATCTCGTCTTGACTTTGTGATCGAGGCTGGCAGCTGAGTGAGGCTCGACTGAATTCAACCCCTCGAGAGTGAATCACTCTCATGTAAAGTGGGTCCAGCCAACACCGAGTAGCGCCGAAAAAGCAGAGCAGCGATCGAAACCAGCGTTTGCCGGATGAGGGATGATGAGCGGGCAAAGCAGAAGAGGATGGGGGAAATCTCTGTGGTTTGACCGTTTGGGGGAAATTTGATGATGAAAGGGAAAAGCAAAGATCAAGTTTCCCCTCGAGCGCGTTTCGAGGTGTGCATGGTGAATATGGGGAAGAACATGAAATGTGAGGAGAAAGGCGATGCCATGCGACGACAGTGACAATCCAGTAGCGACGAAGGAAAGAGAGAATTACTCACCAGTTGCCATAAAGTCAAGGTTTGAGAGGTCGCCGAGGGGTGATGTGAGGTCATCACCAACAGTGGTGACGGCGCTTGAGGGCACCTCCGATTCGGGCTTCGAAGGCTGGGCCTGGTAGTCAGTGTTCTGACCCGTCTCGAAGTCGAAGAACTGCGTGTTGGTGAACATGGCGAGGTCGTCCTCGAAACGGAACTCCTCCTCGCGGGCACCCTTGGCCTCGATGGTGTTGAGGTCACGCAGATACTGCGAAACATTAGGGCCTCGACGGCCGTTGTTGTAAGACGGCGCCATTGCGTTTTCGTGCAACAAGCGTTCGAAAGGGTTGCTTCGTCGTCTGGGGACAGAGGTAGTTGAGTTCTGTTCGCTGTGTTGACTAGGCGATCAATGCTGGTTCCTGAGGTCCTCTTGTTCGAGTATGGAGGGGTAGGCTGCAGTGTCGAAGAAGAGCAGGCTCGGCGGAGGTCAGAGCGCGTGGATTGGACTGCGCTGGCTGGGGCTGGGTGCGGTTTTCGGCCGACTTGGTGGTGACCAGATGATCGATCGGGTAACCAGCAGGACGTCTTTGGCGAGCGGCTTGTTGATGTCGTGGTCGCAGCGTGCGTATTTTCAGGTCGAGCCTGGATGATTCTTTGGTGTATTTTGTGGTTTGGGTGGTAGGAAGGAGAGGAGGGAGAGGGAAGCGGTCGGGTGGGTGGAAGGGACAAGCGTGAATTGAATGAAGCCGATGCTTTGTTCGGAATCGGAAGAGCGTAGGGGTGGAAGTGGGCACAGGCAGACACTGGACTAGGTACTGAAGGGTGAATGTGAGAGTGGGTGGAGGGGAAAGTCGCCCCCCCCCCCCCCCCTCCAGGGCTCCACCCCACGCTACCCACGGCCAGTGTGGCTGGAAGTTACAGGCCATCGGGCACCCAACAAGTCCCTCATCAGCGCTACGCAGCGCCCGAGGTACATCGGTCCCGACAACCTACGACGCATGCCATTTCCTCATGACAGTCATGAGCCAATGGAGAGGCGTGATCCCCTCTCAGTCATCCCACGCTCGCCTGACCAGCACGGTCGTTCTCTGTGTGTGCCTTTTCACTCTCTCGACTGGTAGGCACATGAGGGCCCATCCATGCCTTCCAAGGTTCAATCCCCGCGGCCTGCGATGACGGCTTACTGGTGCCCTGTCTGGGCTGTGGCAGGTCACGAGTTGCCACCGAAACCCTCGTTCATGTAACCCTAATGACGACTTTGGCACCTCACATCGGCCATTGTTTCGTTTCGCATTGTCTCCCCATTTGCCTCAAACTTGCCGTCGAGAGAGTTGTGCGCCAGAATTTGCACAACAAGCGTCTGCAATTTACTGTCCGCCAGAACCACGTATCATCATCGTGAACGCTAGGCGCTGTGTTTGTTCCGGCCAGGCACTTGTCCTTTTGTCAATTTGTCAGCTCCACCCCGCCGGCTGCGTGCATCGGCATCAGCGAACAACAAGATGGACCCTGAATCCAAGCTGGAATGCGCCGTGTCAGCGTACCAAGCAAATCATAGCCAGTAGTAGCGAGTGGGTCAACAGGGTGATTACATGTACCATGTGCCTCCGCCCACCGGACTTGGATCCAGATGTCGCTGGGCGGGGCCATCGATCGCTTTCCCTCTACAACTTAATTACCTCATGCCCACGACTCATTGACTGTCAGCGAGCCAATGGCCTTGCATCCGCATCCGAAGCGGGACCAATGGGCCAGCACTCCGTCACTCTTTCTGGATCCCCTCTCGCTGGCCGTCACATTGGTGAGACTTGCCGTGCATCAACAGGACCAGATGGCCCGTGCATCGACGAGTAACGAGTGCAGCGTATTCGAACGTCTGGGGCCTTGCTTGACGTGGAAGCCAAGCTTCGAAGAGGCTGTAACAAACAACAGCCCCCCCCCCATCCACTCTCCACCCCCACGACGCGTCGCACCCACACCTCGTCGCGTCTTGCCCCATGTAGCCTCACCACATCCATCATCGTTATTGAGTTGGGTATACGTCTACCAGGCCTCACCCATGACGCGAAACTATCATGGCCCGTCTGTCCGTCCCCACGACGGGCCCTCTGTCATCCACTGTGCGTATCCACAAGTCGAACGCCATTGTTCAAAAGATCGTTGGCCGTCTCTCCCGTCCTGCGCTTCTCTCTCTCGCTCTCGACTGGCTCGACGAAAACAACCAGTCGTTATGCGCGCCTCAGCTCGGCGGCAGTCATGATCCGAACGATTTTTACCCACCGGCCGAGTCGCTGCAGCAGTTACGCCGCTTGTACCGAGAGCTGCAGGCGAGGAAGGGCTCCAAAAAGGATGTTGTCGATCGTGTGCTCGAAGGGGATTGGAGACATGGGCTGAGCCTGTACCAGCTAGCCATGGCAGATGTTCGATACCTCCACGAGCACCAGTCTTCTCTGAATTGGATGGCCTACCGATTGGCCCTTGTCACTCCTCGCCGTGACGGTGACGAGGACAACGACGACAGCGCCATCACGTTGGACCGGCAGTCTCTGGATGTGCCACGCTTCCATCCGTCCACCTTCCTTCAGACTTTACAGAGTCAGATCCTTCCGGATGTCAAGGTCCACTACCATCTGGATCGCCCACCGGGCCTAGCTCTGCTTCTCGTTCGCCTGTTCATCGTTGATTCTCCTTACACATCGGCCATGGCTCTCGACGATGGCACTTCGGCCAAAACGCCTCAGATCGAATCCTCCAGGACGCTCTATATTGCATTCCCTGACGCTGCTCCGTTTGTATATCTGTCAAAACCACAGTCCACAGGCATTGCAACGGGTGCGGACTCGAAAGTATTTCGCAACCTGGTGGAGGAGGGCATTCCGAAAGCCCTGTCCCAACCACGCAAAAGATATACCCTCCAAGCCACAGACCTCCGCAGCAAAAACCTGTCCCTTCTTCTGTCATCAAAGGGCGCAGGTCGGACGAACGCCGCTGCTGGCGGATGGAGCTTCTACGCGGACAGGAAGAAGAACGAGTCACCTCTCGACCCCACATTGCCCACCCCGCCGCTCTCGGAGGACTCTGAGAGCGTCTCTTCTGCTGCAGGGGAGCAGGTCACGGCAGCCAAACGGAAGGTCACATACGACCCAGCAGAAGCGGACCGAATTGACAAGAAGGCGAGACTTTTGGCGGCTCGCGCCCGATTCGGGGGTTCAGCAAAGCTCGACGATGGCAGGGGCATCGAGCGAGTAGACATTACGATGGAGGACTCATTCTTAGGTCCGGAGAACAACGTCCCAGGAACAGGCGAGGACGAGACCTCTTGGGCTCCGAGCGTCAAGCTGACATTTCGAGGCTCACACGTCTTTGCTGGCATGCGCCAGCTCGTGGAGGCTGGTGTCGTTGATGGCAGCAGAATGCCTGGCTGGCTGACTGGTGAGGAGGGCGTTACTATTGGGGTTGTCAGGGATGGCAGGATCAGGGGATTCAAAGGCTCCGGGTTATAATGACTGATGATGCTCGCCTTCTTGATTTAAGATTTTCGGTACCGAGCCAAGGGTCTCGGCACGGCTGAACCACTAACAGCAGTTCTTTGGTTGGCGTCCTTTTTTGTCTAGATACCCATGCAACAACGTTCTATACTTTTAAATTAAAGACCTTGTTCGTGTTCTTCCAAGCGGCCTCACATACCTCCTCTACCGAAACTCCCTTGATGCCTGCCACAACCTTGGCCACGCGCTCAATCATGCAGGGCTCGTTGCGGCCCTTGACCATGGCGCCCTCCTGCCACTTCTCCTTCTTCACGATCTTCCATCGCTCGGGAATCTCGGGCTCCTTCTTCTGATTCTTCTTTGATTTGGGCTGTGGCTTCGGTGCATCAGCTGGCGCGGCCTCGCCGTTTATCTCCGGCTTCTTCTCCAACAACAGTTTGTAGCCCTCGTGGCTCGGTCTGATCTCGCACCAAGGCCCGTCCGTCTCCAGCATCATCCTGTCCAGGCTGATCTGTTTGACGACCTCACAATTCTCCGCCGTCTTGAAGCTGCAACCATTGATGCCAATGTACAGCCCCAGGTCCATCAGCTCACGCGCCTCCTCAATGGAACCGGTAAAGCTATGGACGACGCCGCCGCGCTCGAGCTTCTCCAAGCCGGGGCCGAACTTATCCTGCAGAAGCCGGCGGAAGTCTTCGTGGGCGGCGCGCGAGTGCAAGAATAGGGGCAGCTGAGGCTTCGTGGCGAGGACGAGGTCCAGCTGGGCGGCAAAGGCATGTAGCTGAATGGCCTTGGAGGCATAGTGCAGGCGATCGTAGTCGAGCCCAAACTCGCCGAATGCGACGAGGCTGCCCGGCTGGGACGCGTGGGTGCTCTCAATGAGGGCGGCGAGATCGGCGATGATTGTCTCGGTCTTTTGAGCGTCCGGGTCGTGTGTGTCCGGCATGGGTGTTTCTGGGTCAGGGTTTGAATGCATGGCATCATGATTGGCATCGGCAGTACTGAAGATGGCGCTGCTGCAGGGATGGATACCGATGGTCGTGTATACATTGCCGGCTGGCATGGAAGTCGTCAGTCAAGTGCCGTGCATATCGGGGAGCTGTGACGCCACGTACGATATTCTTTGGCTATCGCCAAGGCATCTCGGCAGCTCTGAAAGTCTGAACCCGTGACGATGAGCTTCGAGCACCCCACCTCGTTTGCTCGTGAAATGACAGCACCCAGATCGTCAGGGTGCCGTCTTGAGCCGTGAGAAAGGCCTCTGAAGATGGGGTCGGCAAGGTTGATTCCAATCTACTGGGTACCAAGTGTCAGCCAACCAAGACCAGTTTTTGCCTTTCTATTTTTCTCGCAATCACAACTTCGTACATCAACATATCTTGGTTTGTACTCATTGTGAGAGGTGACTGATGGCGGGGTCGTCATTGTTGTTAGACGTGGTGGCAGAACCACGCGGGATGCCAAATGCGATACAGTCGGCCTGAACCGAGCGAGAGGTGCTCGAGACCAAAACATATGCTGAGACTGAAGAGTCTCGATTCAATCTGCCCGAAACACCAAGGTGTGAGATATAGCCGGGCGCCTGAGCGTAACGCATCGAGGTAAGTTGCGGGTGCGCCTAAATGCATCTCTTCGAAAACCCATTAAACACAGTCTGACTAATACACGTGATTGCGCGAAGTGCTTTACGCGCAAAGCGCGTTAAGTGCATGCATGCACAAAGTGCAAAGACGCGCCCTTGCACTACCACTTTAAAATGGCCGGGGGCGAAGGGGGGACCTGAGGAATGGATCTGTATGCATGAGAATCAGGACAATCTATTCAGCGCTGCCAGACCAGTATGATCTAGACACAGCAAGGGATCAAAACACGAGGAGACATTAGTGAGCATCGGTTTCGGCTCGTAGGTATCGGGCAAAGCAAGGGCGGCGGGGCATCTGCCTGATGGTTGCCAAGGGTCAACAGTGGTAAGCCGCCTGTGCTCAAGCGTGTTTGACGCGCTAGGGGCCTAGCGACGCGTTTTCACTACGCGACGACCCGCAATGCCTATATCTTTCTCCCGTAGCAACCACTCTCCATCATTTTCCCTTCCTCCTACATACAACAAATCCCACCCTCAACCATCTTCAGCGACCATTTTCTGGCACTGAATTGCGACGAGACTCCTTTGGCATATACCCACTGGCCTTGAATAGAGTCTGAATCAATCCGTCGCCTCATACCCGACGGTGCACTCCGTTGTCTCGCCATCCCGCCATCCCTCTACCCCCCCCCTTTACACATCGCCCACCATGTTCGTGAGAAAGCGAGGTACGTGTCTGCCCCTCAATGCGTCTTCTCATGCAAGCTCTGTACTGACTGCGATCAGATGGCCGCCAGGAGCGCGTCCAGTTCGACAAGATCACGGCTCGTGTGTCAAGGCTGTGTTACGGCCTTGACATGGACCACGTCGACCCCGTCGCCATCACTCAGAAGGTTATTTCTGGTGTCTACGGCGGTGTCACTACCGTTCAGCTTGATGATCTTGTATGTTGCCCCATCGTCCTGATACTGGATTGCGAAGAACCGTCCTAACCCGCGCTCCTAGGCTGCTGAGACTGCGGCGTACATGACCGTCACCCATCCCGACTATGCCATCCTCGCCGCCCGCATTGCGGTCTCAAACCTTCACAAACAGACCAAGAAGCAGTGGTCTTCTGTCGTCAGTGATCTGTATCACTACGTCAACCCCAAGAACAGCCGTCCCTCTCCCATGATTGCACCAGAGACGTACGAGTTTGTCATGAAGCACAAGGAGGAGCTTGACTCTGCCATTGTCTACGACCGTGACTTCAACTACCAATACTTTGGCTTCAAGACCCTGGAGCGCTCCTATCTCCTCAAGCTCGACGGCAAGATCGCCGAGCGCCCGCAGCACATGATCATGCGTGTGTCCGTTGGTATCTGGGGAGACAACGTTGAGCGTGTCATTGAGACGTACAACCTCATGTCTAGCAAATTCTTCACACACGCCTCTCCTACCCTCTTTAACGCTGGCACGCCCCAGGCTCAGCTGTCGTCCTGCTTCCTGGTTGACATGAAGGATGACAGCATTGAAGGTATCTACGACACCCTCAAGACCTGTGCCATGATCTCCAAGATGGCTGGTGGTATTGGCCTGAACGTCCACCGCATCCGCGCCACTGGCTCTTACATTGCCGGCACCAACGGCACTTCAAACGGCATCACGCCCATGCTTCGCGTCTTCAACAACACGGCGCGCTACGTTGACCAGGGCGGCAACAAGCGTCCCGGCGCTTTTGCCATCTACCTTGAGCCATGGCACGCTGATGTCTTCGAGTTCCTTGACCTCCGCAAGAACCACGGCAAGGAGGAGGTTCGCGCTCGCGATCTTTTCCTGGCTCTGTGGATCCCCGATCTCTTCATGAAGCGTGTCGAGAAGAACGGCGACTGGACTCTTATGTGCCCCAACGAGTGCCCTGGCCTTGCCGACTGCTACGGTGACGAGTTCGAGGCCTTGTACGAGAAGTACGAGAAGGCTGGCAAGGGCCGCAAGACCATCAAGGCACAGAAGCTTTGGTACGCCGTCCTCGAGGCTCAGACCGAGACAGGTAACCCCTTCATGCTCTACAAGGATCACTGCAACCGCAAGAGCAACCAGAAGAACCTCGGTACCATTCGCAGCTCCAACCTGTGCACAGAGATTGTCGAGTACTCGGCCCCCGATGAGGTTGCCGTTTGCAATCTGGCCTCTCTGGCCCTGCCCGCCTACGTTGATTACAACAACGGCGTGTACGACTTCAAGAAGCTCCACCAGGTGACTCAGGTCGTCGTCAGGAACCTCAACAGGATCATCGACGTGAACCACTACCCCGTCATCGAGGCTCGCAACAGCAACATGCGCCATCGGCCCATTGGCCTTGGTGTCCAGGGCTTGGCTGATGCGTTCCTTGCTCTCCGCATGCCCTTTGAGTCGCCTGAGGCCAAGGAGCTCAACAAGCAGATCTTTGAGACCATCTACCACGCCGCCCTGACCATGTCATGCAAGCTCGCTCAGGAGGAAGGTCCTTACTCAACATACGAGGGCTCGCCCGTCTCCCAGGGTATCCTTCAATACGACATGTGGAACGTCAAGCCTACTGACCTTTGGGACTGGGCCGATCTCAAGAGTCAGATCAAGCAACACGGCGTGCGTAACAGTCTTCTCGTGGCGCCTATGCCCACGGCCAGTACCTCGCAGATCCTCGGCAACAACGAGTGCTTCGAGCCTTACACGTCCAACATCTACCAGCGCCGTGTGCTCGCTGGCGAGTTCCAGGTTGTCAACCCCTGGCTGCTCAAGGACCTTGTCGACATGGGTCTTTGGTCTGATAGCATGAAGAACCGCATCATTGCCGAAAATGGTTCCATCCAGAACATCCCCAACATCCCCGCGGACATCAAGTCCCTGTACAAGACTGTCTGGGAGATTTCTCAGCGCACCGTTGTGCAGATGGCTGCCGATCGTGGCGCCTTCATCGACCAGTCTCAGTCCTTGAACATTCACATGAAGGACCCTACCATGGGCAAGATCACGAGCATGCACTTCGCCGGCTGGAAGCTTGGCCTCAAGACCGGCATGTACTACCTGCGCACCCAGGCTGCTGCGGCCCCTATCCAATTCACCGTTGATAAGGAGGCGCTCAAGGTCGCCGATACCAACGTCGGCAAGGAGCGCAGCCTCAAGAAGCGGTCTCCCATGCCCAGCTACAACTCGTCGGCTGCGGCCGTTCCTAGGCCCATGTTCCAGAACAAGGATGGTTCGGCAGACAGCAACAGCCGCAACGGTGTTCCGACCCCCAGCACGACACCGCCCCCTGCTGCCGTCACATCCCTCCCTATCGCCTCGCCTGCTAAGCCGGCGACGATGAAGGCGGATGTTGACGAGGGCGACAGCCCCAAGGTCCTGCCTATGGAGCCCGCCGACAAGATCAAGATTGAGGAGCTCTCTCAGGGCGAGAAGACTCCTGACGCGGAGGACAAGGATGAGGACAGCAAAGAGCGCGAGAACGACATTTACTCGGAAGCTGTGCTTGCTTGTAAGTCAAAATCTAATACGGGCCCCTTTCAACTTGACCATGACTAATGATCACTCGCAGGCAGCATTGAAAACCCTGAGTCTTGTGTGATGTGCAGCGGCTAAATGTTGGGTACATCATTGGTAATGTGTTGATGGTTGATGATGGGTATTATGGCACTGGGTTTTGGGTACATTTGCAAGGACACACCGCGGCTTGCACGGCTCATGATGCTCGAGGCCTCTTGACGTGCACCTGAGCAGGATGCGCGGTCTATCTGTCGCGCCGGCTGATATGGTTTTGTACAGTGATTTTATGGTTTAGGGAGGTCCTGGTCCTTAGTCGGGGTCTGCATTTCAGGACAAGGTCATAATGCGTTGAACCTTGATAAGATAGCATGTGTGTTTTTCGTAATGCGATTGGCGTTGAGACAATATTGTGCTGTCCCTTCAATCTTGTCCGAAACAACGAGCCTTGCCCCATTGACTGCATGTCCAATAATGGAGGGGGAGGCACGCAGCTCAAAAGGTTCTGTCTCACAGAGGAGCGCCACTTCTTCTAATCTAGTAGCCGTGGCTAGGTTGTGTGGTTGGTGTTGGAGGGTTGAGGCCTCCTTGTGGTGTAGGTCCTCGCGAAATTGGTGTTGCACCAGCTGGCGCCGGGGGACTCGCTCTCGGTTGGCGTGGCAAACCTGGGGTGCTGCCTCTGGCGGATTAAGGGGGGGGGGGGGGGGGTTAGCTCGATGTTTAGTGTCCACCCGGCAAATTGATTCAGCTGGACCAGGATTTTGTTCTCAAGCAAACAAGGGTGGGGGGAGCCAGGGTCGTTGGGGGATCGATTCGATCGCGCGAGGCCGTCAGGCACCGGGGGGGGGGGGGGCTATCTACCGATTGCCAAATCTGCCCGCCATGCCAGTTATGGTCCCTCTTACCCGCCTCCCCGCACTAACCCAGCCGCCCCTAGATTTCCATTGTCCAATTGATGGAGAGATGGGGTCGTTTTTGCGTGTTTGATTGTCCGGACGAGTGTTAAGCGCTGGCGGGGTGCACAGCAGATTGGTTTCTGTCGCACGTCGGCCCTTGTGCCAGGCAGTTCGCTGCTGGTCTGTCGAGACTTTTCGGTGTTGAAATGAAGGGGAGGATGTATGCACAGATTGAGCTCTCTCAGAGGGCATCGGAGATCAAGCAGAGGGGACGATACTATCTACACTAGGAGTCCAAAGGAGGGGGGTCCGATCGGCGCATGCATGGGTCGGGCTTAGGTGCCATGCTGGCAAGGGTAGCCGCACTCTGAAGAGACAAGGCTTGAGTGAGATCTTCGGCTCCGGAAATTCTGCATTGGAAGAACGCGTCTCGGTCTTTCAATTCTTCACGTTTGGGACGTCGTACATTTCGGGTCTTGGGCAAGACGGATCGAATGACCGAACGAACTCTGCTTGCCACAGGACGCGCAAGCCGCAATGTGATCCAGGCTGGCTGCGGAGGGGTCATCATGTCTTGGGTTCGTGGGGTGGTTCGTTCGAATTGGCTTTCGCTGGGGCCGAAAGTGAAGGGAGGGGCAGCGGGCGCAGACGTTCAGCAGAACAAGCAAGCGTTCAGGGCTTCAGGCATGACCAGATGGATAGGTGCTGGCCTACCTGAGGTACCTGGGGTACCTTGCTACTGAGACGGCGCACTGCGGAGAGAGGCCGGGAACGGAAATTCGGGGTTCTAGGCCCATGATGCCTCATTGACGGAAACAAGCAGGCGCAGGTGGTTGATTGAGCCGGGACGTCAACAGGAAACCAACAATCATGGTACCCAGCCCGTCTCGTCTTCTTCTCTTTCGTGGAGATAGACGAGCACCGCACAACAAGGCAGCACCGGCAGTAGAGAGAGGGAGCGAACAAAAAAAGGACAAGCAGAAAACCATCAGACGAGAGTTGTTGAGCCAACCACAGCGCATGTGCCAATGACGTTGGACAAGTGCCTGCTCCACACGTCCGCTTGTCCCTGCCGAGACCAGACCTGGGTGCAAGGCCACAGGACTGGCCGTGTGGATAGCTTGTCCGGTGGATCGGCTTCTTCCCGCCAATTATATGCAGCCAAGAATCGGAGCAGGGATGCCAGCGGAGTGGACTGACCTCATTGACGCTGTATGAGTTGGACTTGCTTGACACGAATCGAACCTTGGAAGCTTTCTCCCATTGCCCTGTTCTGAGGGGGCCTGCAGAGCTGTCGAACCCAGCCATTCGTCTTTTTCGGAGTGACCCTACGTCCCCCGATGACAACAGCAAGCTTCCAGTCCTTTGTCCGGTGGTAATCGCTCAGGTTCCCTGGTTTTCGTCCGTCCCATCGGCCGTTTATTACCCAAATCAAAGTTGGCTCATGTTTTCAAGCCGAGTATCCATGTCGTCATGGGAGGCCCTGTCTCCTCAGCTTGGTGGGTAGTTATCTTTCCTCGGGGAAGCTCTCGGTGCTGAGGCAAGCGTTATGTGGGAGAATTCGGGCACACCGACATTGCCACGAAGCCGTCGACTGTCCTGCTGAATTAGGAAGAAGGCGTAGCGTAACGGGACTCATCGCAGGTCCACCGCACGCTTTGGGCTGAGGAAAGCGAGGCGAAGCTGCCAACCTAGTGTGATGTGCTGTCGACTTGCATGAAGACTTCAGCGCTGCGTGCTCGGGCCTGGCCCGACGGGGGGCGTGGGGTTGCGCTCAAGCTCGGAATGACGGCGCAGCCAGATGTCCTACCCTACCAACCTCTGATCTGATGGTAGGAAGCAGACAGCTGGCGCAGCGGATCCGGGCCGGGGGCGGTCGGTAGGTCGGTAGGCCCGCAGGTAAGTAGGTGCCTTACGTCGAGGGCAAATAGCTGCGGCGGTTAGACATTGGGATGCTAGTGCTGGGGCTTGGATGTCTGTGTCTTACGAGTTGGGGACTTGAGGTCATATCCCTCCCGATCCCGGCTTTAGTGCAGTGCAATGAGGTCGAAACCGGGGCTGGCGCAGCTCTAGGGCCAGCAGGGCGTGGGCCGGTGGGTAAACAGAGAGGCAAGGGCAGGCACACCCCGGCAGTGGCTCTTTCCTGTTTTGTCGGTGGCTTGACATTCGGGTAGGTTCACCGCACATCCCAGCATCGTGCTTTCCTCCAGCTTTGCTAGAGGCCTGCCAGCTTCCCAGCTTTGGTCTTGCTGTGAGGTAGCCTTCTCAGCACAGGGCTTCTCGTCTCTTCTCCACACGTCGTCCTTGGTCTTTAAAGCTTTGGTACGCCTGCCCCAACGACCATCTGTTTGACCTCCCTTCCGTCCTTCATCATTCAAGCCTTGCGTCTGATATCTTTCGAGACCTCCATTCCTCCTCCTCTCGTCAACGTCACGGAAAGACAAACGACATTCTCGACCGCACCTCCACATCCTTCGGTACGTACGTACAACGACGCGTCGCGTTTCTCATGTTCCTTGGGCAAAGCTTCTATCCTTCCATCCTGCACCAAGGGCTCCTCCACGCGCCATCCCTTTCCCTTCTCATATACTTGGCTTTCCTACGTTGCCCGGGTCCCGGCTTGAGAGCCACCTCACTGTCCTTCTCATTGGTGTCACGTCTCATAAGTTTTGACACGACTGACACCCAATCACCGTTCACAGGCCTGCCAAGCCTTAGCGACTTTCCGTTACCCTCTCACAACACCATCATCACTACACTGTGGGTAAGTGCTTCAGTTTGATACGCCATGTGTGGTCTGCTTCACTCGCCCTCTGCCATTCTGGAGTCGAGGCAAGACGTAGGCTTCTCCCTACTGCCCTAGCACACACCAGATCAACGGCAAGAATGGCATGAGTTGTCCAAGATCAACTTGACCTTGCAACAGTTGACCCTGCCGTGTGTGCTCATTCGACGTGGCTGGCACGATCCTTCCCCAGCTCAACCCCTCCCCCCCCTTTTTCCCTTGCTACTGCCGTCACACGGTGTAACTACACAAGGGCCGGCTCCCACGCGTGAAGTTGCACCTTCATTTCCCCTGCCACCCCCTTCTTCACTCCTCATAACCCCATCACACGTCTCATACCGCCTCTATCTTCTTGCTGTTTCTCTCCCCAAACACTCACACAAGTTTGCTCATCTGCCTTGACCCCGACACTCGTTTCTCCTACAAGTCTCAATTCAGGTACTTGGATGCAGTTGATCGCTCGACACAGTCACGAGTGTTTAGTTCACCCCTCATCAATCCTTTGGTGCACATTAGCAGCCGGGAATGGGATATTTGAAACTTTGCTAACATCAGCTATTCAGGTCTTGCTCCTTGCACCGAACACCATCACGAGCATTAACTCATATTGTCTCGATCCGTAGCCAAAAAGCAGCAACGTCATCAAAATGAAGAACACCGCCATTCTCAGCGCTGCTGCCCTCCTCGTCCTCAGGGGCGTCCAGGCCCAGGACCTTCCCGCGTGCGGCGTAAGCATCCATCAAACTCGTCACGAGAGCCCGACTACGGCTGACACGCAGTGAAATAGCAAACGTGCGTCAATAACATGCTCGGACTTGCGGCTGAACTCGGATGTGGCGACGTCCAAGGATCCGAGCGGGAAGCCTGCCTGTGCCGTAACCCCAACTTCCTGTACGGTATCAACGACTGCTCTACTGCCGTCTGCGCCGAGGACACCGAAGCCGCCGCGGCCGCCGTCCGTTACGGCCTTTCCTACTGCGCTGGTGAGATGCCACTGGGAGAGTATTCTGTCATGAAGAACAATGTGCTGACCTTTTTCAACAGACCGTGGTGTCACCGTTGAGCCTGTCCCCGCTGGTACTGTCACCGAGGCCACCAACACTGAGACTGTCACTGCCACTGCCACTGGTGGCGGCGCCGTGAGTGCGCTCCTCTGAATTTATGTATAACATTTGCTGACAATGTGAAGAATGGCGGAGCTGTTCCCATTGTCACCACCATCGTTTCCGATGGTACTACCCTAGTCTCCACCATTGGAACCGGCACCGTCACGGGCACCGCCGGCGGCGGAGCCGTTGTTCCCATTGTCACGACCATCGTTTCGGACGGTACTACCCTGACCTCTACTGTTGGTACTAGCACCATCACAGGCACTGCCGGCAGCGGAGACGACGACAGCAACACTGCTGTCGTCTCCACCTTCACCACTGTCATCACCAGCGGTGACGACACTATCACTTCGACCGGCGTGACCACTATCGGAATCAACGGCGTCTCTGGTGCCTCGCAGCTCCCTGTGACCACCGTCGCCGTGCCCGTCGTGACTACCATCACCAGCGGCGACGACACCATCACCTCTACGATTGGCACTACCTCTGTTGTCTCCACCCTCACCGGCTCTGCTCTGACTTCGGCTCTTGAGAGCCAGGCCTCTGATGCCGCCAGCACTGGTGGCGATGACAGCAACACTGCTTCGGGCTCTGCTACTACCACCGACAGTGGTTCTACCTCCGAGACTCAGACTGGTGATGCTGCCGCTTCCTCCACCACTGGCGGCGGTAACGACTCGGTAAGCCCTCTGTTCGTGACTCGGGTGTCGTCAACAGCAAGACTAACAGGTAAACAGGCCGGCATGTCCCTCACCGCTCCTGCCTTTGGCCTCTTGGCCGCCATGGGTGTTGCTGCCATCCTCTTCTAAGAGCACCAACCTGGAGCGAGAGTCGGTGATTCCATCAGCACATTCGATATTTAAAATACCCCCCTGCGCCAGAATCCAGGTTTTCGTCTTGACACTTTCGATTGATTCCATGACATAGTCTTGTCTGAACTACAGCCACAACAAGTGGATGTCGACCAGAATCGAAGGCACCATGAATCGCAATTGAGGTGAATGGGAACAGAACTACCGAGGCACCGCAGGCTTTCTTTCTTTCCTTTTCAGGCCCCAAGGAGATGAAATGGTTCATCTTGTTCTTTTTAATGGATTGCTTGGTGTTGGACTTGAGCGTAATGGAATGGCGTGTTGATGATGGTTATTGGCAGACCTTTGAGGGGCATGTGCCGAGGCTCGAGACCAGTGAAAAGGGGTGGGACCGAAGGTTGGTTGACCTCTTGCCTTTGTTGTCGAAATTCGGACGAAACCATGATAAATGAATGTATGTACAAATGTAGAAACATTGCAACGCCGCAGACATTGTTCTACCACTCAACGTGATGAGCTATCAAATAGCAGAACTGTGGACGGGCTACCTACTAACCGACGTATGATTGTTGTGTCTGCGTATACGCACCTTGGTGACCATGTGTTTACGAATTACCACGCGCGGTCTAAGCTGTGCACGTGCAGCTCATGTATGAGACACAGGGATTTTGGCGAGGAGGGAACGAGAACTGGGCTACAGGCATCCAACTTGACAAGTTTCATTGCTTCCTATATCCGACCCAAACTAGCCAGCTTTCTCGCGATACTCGCGTTGATAGTTGCATCATCCTCGCCGTCACTATCATCAGAGCCTGAGCTGCTTGTGGCGTCGTCGTCGTTGTCGTCGTTGTCGTCGTCGTCATCGTCCCCAAGGCTCTCCTCGGCTACTATCTCCATCAAATTGCCGTTGCCACCCTGGACGGAGCCAGCATCGTCGTTGTCGTCGTCATCGCTGGCCACCTCGCCGTCCTCGAGCCGACGGCGGGGTTTTTTCTTGCCCTTCTGGTCCTGTGGACGTCTGGACTGGCTGGCTGCGTCGCGCTTGCGCTTCTGCGCGGTCGCGTCGGCGGGGTCGCATTTCCGCGTCAGGGCAAAGGCGGAGGGCAGCGCGGCGTTGACGGGGAGGGCGTAGATGGTGGGGAACTCGAGGACGGTGGTATCGCGCAGGGCTTCACCGAGGGACGTTGTCGGGTCGAGGGCGTGGACGGGGATCTTGGCTTCGGAGCTCGGTGCGGCGGCCAAGGGGCTGCGGACGGGGGAGATGAAGAAGCGGTACTTGTCCTTGGGCATGTCCTCGGGTTCCGGGGCCGCCGCCGACTTGAAGTGTGTCGCGCCGGCGTAGGGTTTCCAGGCCGGGTGCGGGTGAGGTTGGAGGACGTAGTGGCCCGGAAGCCATGTGCCTGTCGACGGGTCCTGGGACTGTGTCGCGGCTTGCGGGGGGGGCTGTTTGGGTCGGGGCTTGGGCTTGGTCGAAGGGTCGACGGCCACGTCAAAGGGGCTTCGCTGCTGTTGCTCTTCCTTTTTCCGCAGGGCATTCAAATGGGCCCTGTGGCCGTGGCCGAACGCCGAGTAGAGGGGCGCGTTGTCCATGGCCTTACCCAGGAAGCGCGTCGTCGGAATCTTGCTCCGCCTAGCGTGGTCGTCGTGCTCCTCCTCGCTGCTGCTGTTGTCGGCATTATCGTCTGCCTCGACCTCGGCCTTGCTGTCGGCCTCCTTGGCCTCGCCAGGCTCGAGCAGCAGCCACTCGACCTGCCAGTGTATGCGGCCCGACGCCTTGTGCACGTTTGTGCCGTTCTCCTTCTGCCTCGACATGCCCGTCGGGGCGCGTCGCACATGGATGCCAAACGTCGCGAGCCGTCGCCGCATCTGTTTTGACAAGTCTGGCCGCACGCCGCCGCCGCCGCCTGCTGGTCCTGCGCCTGCGCCATCTCTGCCGCCGTTCCGCAGCACCTCGGTGACGAGCACCTTCTTCTTCGACCCGTCCTTCTGGCGGCGCCACTGCACGCTGCGAATCTCGACGGGCCGCAGCTCGTCCTCGGCGAGCAGGCGGCGCTCCTCGACAATCTCGCGCTCGGCGCGCTGCACGGCGCGCTCGATGCCGTGCAGAAAATTGTAGTCGTGGTCGACGCCGGCCGGGGTCCGCAGCTGGGCGCGCGGCACGTAGGCCGTCGCGTCGCGGATGCCGCTGCACGACGACCAGGCCTTGTGGCGGCGCGTGCAGGGGAGCGAGCACGTCCGCGTGTCGCAGGCCGGGCACTTGTACTTGGGCGGCTGGATGTGGCAGATGGCGCAGAGCGTCGTCAGGAGAGGATCGTTCGACGACGAGGTCGCGGCGGCGCCCGAGGGACCGGCGGCTGGTGTTGTGGTCATGCTGGATGCTGTTTTCGCGGGAAAGGGGAGGGGGGAGGGGGGCGAAGGACTTGCGGCGGGCAAGCACCCGAGGGAATAAACTTCAAAGAGAGCGTTGGGTAATGATGCTGTGGGAAAATGCAATGTTGGGTTGGAATCAAGAGGGTTGAAAATACACGGGATCAAGTTGCAAAGGTTGAACGCATGGAGCTCATAACTTTTTGTCTTATCGCACTGCCCAACCTGATGGTCTCTTATCGGTTAGTGCCTTGGCGGATGACGCATGGTCGGTGGCCCAAGTGAAGGCCGTTCATTGATACTGCCGCCCCGAGGCATCCCACAGGTTTCAAGATGAGACGGCATCAGACATCAGTCACGTACATCAGTCACGCTGGGTGAAGATAGTGTTGAGGGTCATCTTCAAGATATAGATTCAAGACCAATGAGTGACGTCAAGTCCAACTAATCAGAACACCGACAGACCAACCACCTGAGCCCTACAAATCGTGATACAGCAGACAAAGAGCGGCCCGCTCGTCCTCAGGGCACTGTGAGAGACATATTGACCAAGAAACGAGACTTGTTTGAAAGCACAAATAAGAGGGTAGAATTAGCAAAGCTTCCAACGCCAGGACAAAACAACGTGACGCTGTCCAGAACCGCCATCAGTGTGGACAGCCAGACGGAGAGAGAGATAAATAAGGATAAAAACAAAGAGGTATAGATGGGGCAACAAGAGGGACAAAAAATGAGCTTTTATGCGCGAAATTGGACACATGCGGTCCAGAACCCCTGGGGAAAGAAACGAAAAAAGGCCCCCCGGGCCGAGTAAACCTCTCCCACTCTAATGTCGTTCGTAATAGCAAACCGTCGCCAGGTCCGTCAATCGGCGGGGGCCGGTCTCGTCCTTAGCGCGAGCCCCCCAGGGCGCTGATGCGAGCCCCAGATGGCCTGTGGATGAGGCTGCTGGCGTGCTTGCCGACGAGGCCGTGCTCCTGAGGCGCCGTGTCCGACTCGCTGCGGCCCTCCTCGAGGTCCTCGCCGTCGTCCTCGACAATCTTTGTGGGGATGTCTTGGTGGATCATATACTGCTGGCTCGACCGCTCGGGCGTCGTCGCCGTCGAGGCGAACGACATGGCCGTGCTGCTGCGGTTCGGCACCAGATCGGGCGTTGGCGGGATGCTCGACGTGCGACCCGAGGCAGGCTGCAGGAGGCTGTCGTCACCGAGCTCCGACGCTGTGGCGTTGGAGTGGCTGTCGTGGCCGTCATCGCTGGCCGCCACCGACAGGTTGCTGTGCCTGCGGTGGGCGGCGGCGAGGCGGGCACGCTCGTCGAGCTCGGCATCTTGCGCCAGAGACAGACCCTCGACGGCAGCTTGGCACTGCTCTGCAATGTTGCGGATGATGTGCGCGATGGCATCCGTCTTGTCCTTCAGGTGACGATCAGCCACGTCGATGAAGCTGGACGAAGACATTCTCTTGTTGGCGCGGGCAGCACTCCTCAGGTTGTTTTCCGCTTCAGGCGAAAGGCGGTCGCTGGGTACCTCGCCCTGCTGGAGCTCGACATCCTCGTCGTTCTCGAAACCGTCCTCGAGCTCCGAGCTGATCTCCTCGGGCTTCGTCAGCGAGCGGACGAGGTGCTCCATGTGGTGGCTCTGGCCGCCAATGAGACTGCGGAGGTGAAGGACCACCCTGCGAGCCTCGTCACGCTGTCGCAGGATTGTCATGTTGGTGTGCTGGAGCGCGGAAAGCTCCTTCTTGTTGCGCTTGCGCTCGCGCTCGAGCTCCTCGGCAATCTCCTGCTGGAGGACCAGGGCCTCGAGAGCATCGTCACGCTGCTTCTCCGTGCCGGCGAGACGAACAGAGAGGCGAGCATTATCGTCCTTCTGCTGATCGATGAGACCGCCGAGCCTGCGGTTCTCCCTCTTGTGGTTCTCAATCTTGGTCTTGAGATCTTGCGTCTCCTTTGTGAGCTGTTCAGCAAAGGCCTGGAACTTGAGGAACTGCTGCTTCCAGCTCTCCAGTTCTTCGACGAGGTAGTTGTTGCGCTTGGTGACCTTGCTGAGCTCCGTGTCCATGCGGCCCTTGAGGTTGATGAAGTCCTGCCACGCCTCGAGAGCGTCGCGCGAGTATTGGTTCCTCTCGCGGACAATCTCGTTGAGGTGCCTCATCGAAACCTTGGTCATCAGCGGCTTCTTCACAGCGCCACCAAACACGGCCTTGAGGCCGGTGTTGCGGCCCATCTTTTCACAGACGTGGTCCATGACGGACATGACAGCATCCTGGCTCCACCACTCGGGGTCCTGGATGGACTCGACCTCACCGCGCATGACGATGATCTGGCCGGCGGGGATGAGCTTGCCTCCACCGTAGGCGGAGCGGAGGTGCTGGGGCACACCAGACGGGGTGACATCGCCATTGAGGGACTGGGTCAGGCGGGTGACGAATTTGTTGCGCTGACCGGGGCTCAGCGCGGTAGGCGGGCTCGAGGTGAGAACAAAGTTGCGGTCGAGGTCGACGACCAGAGCGTCCGTGGGCGCCGTGAAAAGCGACCTGCACTCGGCAGTGATGCCCAGGATGTAGGGGCCCGGTTCCTGAACGAGCTCCTTGGCGTGACGGGCGTGAACGACGGGGACATAGAGACCGCTCCACTCGTAGACACGGACGCAGTAGCGGACCGTCTCGGCGGCCATGGTCAGCATGGCCGGGTAGTGGCTCACAAAGATGATGCGGCGGGTGGGGGAGATGGCGGCCTCAATGACGCCAACAATGTTGGGAATCGAGAGACAGCAGAACAGGGGCCACATGGCGAAGTTCTGGAAGCCGGTGGGAGACGAGGGGAACTGGTAGCACAGGGCGTAGTCCTTCATGTCGATGCGGACGAGGTCGTTAAGCCTTGGGGCGGGGAAGCTGAGAATGCGGGAGACCTCCTCGGCGTGGAACAGGTTGGTGGCCTTGTTCCAGTGAATCCACATGCCCCGAAGATAGTCGCCCAACAGATTGTACAGCGGGTAGCGGGAGAGGAAGGACAGGCAGTAGGGGATCCAGTACGTCTCGTCGGGGTTGTCGTAGAAGTCGGACTCGGTCCTCTTCCGCAGGTCACGAATCGTCTCGGCCCTCTTCTCGTCGGCGCGGGACCACACGCGGAGACTGATGCCGTAGAGGGTGTGGGACGAGTCCTGCTGCAGAACGAACGCGTGATGGACGCAGTGCGGCTGGCTGCGGCCAGTGCAAATCTCAACATCGTGAGGGAAGCACGCCTGGGACGGGAGAGGTTAGCACGATGTTGCCGCCACAGAAAGGGGTGGGGGGACGGCCAAGCAGGTCCAACTCACCCGCATAGCAGCGTGCAGGGCCCTGGCAATCTCGTTGTCCTGCTCCAGCCTGGGGCTGCTGCCGAGAATCTCAGGGAGCCAGAATTGGCCGACGGCACCCTTCATGTGGCCGATTTTGCCCTGGGCGGGCGCAGGTGCCTTGACCCATTGCGAGGGCTCTCGGCCGACACCGCAGACCATGTAGGCATGGGTCAGTGTCTTGGGGGTGCGCTGCTGGGTCTTGACGTTGAGGGTGGAAGGAATCGGCTGGGTGATGCGAGAGTGAAGAGAAGAGGTACGGCTGGGGATGATGAGGTTGTTGTCGCCCTGGTCCCGGGTGGTGGGACGGCCCTCGCGATCCCCGGTGCGAGGGCGCGTGAAGGACGAGTGAGCATGCAGAGAGGGCGCCATTGCGCGTGATGGATACCTCTGGTTCTGTTGCTGTAGGCAGCGTAGGTGTTTGGGGCGAGTGGATAGAGCGAGGTCCTAAATCTCGCAACAAAGCAGAGCAGGCGAAGAAGCTCTGAAGCTCTGAAGCTGTGCGGAAGTCTGGAAAGCTTGCAGGAGCTCGAGCTGTTTTAGTTGTCCATTCGAAGGTCTGCACAGCAGCGGGTGATGCGAGGTTCTGGGCGTTCGGTTCGTCGCGTCTCTTGTCGTCTCGTCCGGTCTTGTCGTTTCGTCTCTTCTACTTGACGAGTGCTCGTGGACAGTCCGCAACAGACTGGCTGTTTGGTGACGGCTGGTGCGGGGGGGGGGGGGGGAGGAAGGGCAGGAGAGTGAAAAGGAAAGACGCTGGCTAAGAGGAACAAGAGCCACAGAGGGTTTGGGAACGGGCGCCCAGAAAGGGGGAAGGCGACTCCAAAAAGAGGCGATTGGGGGGAGTGGGCGGTCCGTGTGGATGGATGGAATGGGTGGAATGAATGGATGGGGCGGCCAGGGGTGGGGGATGAGCATTCGAGCTCTGGTCGAAGATCGTTGCAGCGAGAGAGGAGAGACGGGTAACGACTCGTGGTATCAACAGACGGACAGACAGACAGCCAGAGCCAGCCAGAGAGCCGTGGCGGATTTGGGGGGGACGAGCAGTCGGAGAAGCAAGCTCAATCCATCGTGATGCCCAATACTTTTCAGGGGGCCAAGTGGGAAGGGGCCCATCGTCGGCCGCCTTCCTGTCCCCAGGAGGTCTGATACCACGCTAAAGCACTGTGCATGGCCTGTGCATTGTGCGGCGGAGATCTGATACGAACACGGTGTGATGCCGTCAATGATCAGTGTCGAGACACCGTGTGAAGTGCCCATCGTCGGACGCGACCCGTATGGGGACCCCTGCCTCAGGAACGAACAGGGCTAGCGATTAGCACGCCGGCGTTGGCGCACCGCGTGGGCCTGGCGGGTGAGCTTGGGGCCCTCGGGGCACTTGGGGCGTGCTGAAGCACTGAACCCTCGAAGCCGTCGCCGGGCTGGCACCGTGGGCTCCAGTGCCACCACAGCACACTCTGTGTGTCCCCTTGTCCTCTTGTCCCCTTGTCCCCTTGTCCCCCTCGCCGGGCCCCTGGTCCCTTCAAGATTTGACTCCACGCCTGCCAGCTTAAACGAACCAATGACGGGCCGGCGGACCTGGTGGGAAATTGTCTCTCCCTTTTTCGTGTCGCGACTGCGACGCTGTCATCGCTCAATCTCTCGAACCCTGGCTCTCTCGTTTCCGACCTTGCGTTGCGACGAATGCTGCTGCTGTTCGTTTGCGTCTGTTTCTTGCCTTTGTGCTCCCTTGCAACCTTTTCGTGCAACAGACAAAGGATCGCCCTGCCGTGTTTGTTGTTGTGGTTGAGCATAGGGAATGCCGCAGCGCTCTGCTCCTGCTCCTGCCGCCTCCTCACCACCGTCCCCCCTCACCTTGAGCATCTATCCAGTCCGTGGCTTTGACCGCTTCCCTCAGTCACTTGTCAGTTCGACCTGTCGTGCATGCCCTTTTCTTTTTTAGCGTCTCAAGGCCAGACCAGGCCACACGTGTCATGGCAAGGCACAGAGCCCCGGCACCAGCCGGTCTTTGTTGGTGCAACTGATGAAACATAGCGATACTGCCTTACAGCTAGCTAGTGCTGTACCATGTACGCCACTCTTTGGGGGGGGGGAGGGGGGTGTTATGCACATCTGGCGTCGAAAACATCCGTTTCTTACTCAGTTCCTTCCCGTCAACGCATCGCGCTGGCTTCGATGCTGCTGTAAAGTCGAGCAAACGAACAGGCAAATAGATGGGGCCAAGATGCTTGACTGACTGACTGAGTGGCGGGCTGGCCCCTGACGCCAGACGCCATCGGTCGGCGATGTTTTGTCCGGCCGACTCCCGGGGTCGTCCTCTCGGAGTGCAGGAAACGAACATGACGACCTACATGTACACTTGCACTAGCAGCGGGGCCTCGCGTCAAATCCAACTAAGCATCTGGCGATACCCGTCTGCAGCGTGCAGAAATAGCCCGAGCTTGCGCTTTCCATGACAGGATGACTTGCTCTCACAAGGTGCTTCCATGTTGTGCACAAGCCCCCTCCTCCCCCTCGCCTCCACGCCCATGCCTCCTGCACGCTCGGACCCGTGCTCAGGCGATTTGCCAGCTCTCTCTCTCTCTCCCTCTCTCTCTCCTCGTGTCTGTCTCTGTCACCTTGTACGGAGTGGGAAAAAGACTCTCACTCGCAGCATCATGCCCCGCTCTGCGTAATGCCGCGCTCCTGTTGACGTCGGGTAACCTAGGCTGCTCGAATGGCGACATATATGTAGGGAGACAGTGGGAGAGAGAAAGGGGTTTCGTTGCTCCGATGGACACAGGAACGCTGCATGTTTGCCCAGCACATACATATACATATGCATGTACATATGTGTTTCGGGCGCAATGCATGCACCTGGATCGATGCGAGCCATGATGCCCGCCGATGCCGCTCCCAAGCACCTGGCACCCCTTGGCTTTTGACCACGCGGAACGGCGTTTGGCCGGAGGGTCCGTTGTCGCAGGCGGCGGGGTTTGTCGAGGTAGCTCTTGCCTCGCGGGCAGGCGGGGTTATGGCCTTTTCGCTGGCAGCCATCTCCCGGTTTGACCAGCAGCGACGGCGTCGGAGGCAAAACATGGCAGATGGCGCGCCACCTTAGTTGAAGATCCTGCACCACAAATGATCGACATGCCCTGGCGTTGGCGTGGTTGTGGTCGTGTCGAAGCTAAAAGAAAGAAAAAAAAAGCGATTTGCAGTGGGAAGAGACGCCAGAGCTGTCGCTGCTGATCGATGTGTCGAGGCCACGCTGCGGTAGGGCACACAATGCGAAGCTGAAGACTATGCATTGTCCCTCCGCGTGGTACACCTCGGAGTCAGCAATAGCGTCCTCTATGCTATACTCTTCGATGGAAACGCAGAGCCGATCTGTTGGGAGAACTGCGGCGGAGCCAGGGTTTACTGAGTCCAAGATCAACGTGCTCTCTCCAACATTACCAACCTCAGTGTGCCCTTTCTCCAGTAATTTCTCCGGGTTGATCCTGGGGTTCTTGCCACATCAGCGTCGTTCTGGATGATTTCGAGTCGGCTTTGTGCCGATAACTTTGCCATCATGTCGTCTCATACGCGACCCATAAATGTCGCAGCTGCCCACTCGACTACTTGTTCTGCTCGTAGATGCAACGAAGAAGCACTAGAAACGAGAAAGGTCGAGAAAGAAATAAAATGGCATCGCAGCACGTCCGCTGGATGATTATCAAACCCCGTTCTGTGCCTCCTTCTGAAGGCGCAAGTATATGTGGTTGACGGTAGTCCATTTTATAAATATCGCTTACCGTCAAAGCTTCTCTGAAGACCATACGGTACGATGCGGAGTACCAAAATGCCCTTGCAAACGGGGAAACGGCACAAATCTGGGTGCTAGATATGCGGTTCTACCGGATGATATACACGACCTCTTCGGGAGGTATGTTGGCAGGCAGATACTCAGCTTGTTTTGACTTTCGTAAGCATCACAGCAAAAGCAACGACATGACAGGAATGTATTGCGCATCGGGAGACAACGGGATGGCCACCGTCGTGTTGGGAGAACACATGTGCTTTAGAAGAGTCAACTCTATCATGATTCTGGGCGGTAGGGGTGCACAAGTTCTTGGAGCAGAGGCCACACGAACCGAATATGGAGAGGATCATGCAGAAGTGCTTCGGTGCTCTGAACCAGTCTAAGAATCGATGCCCTCGGCGAGTCGTCATCCGCCAACACATTCCAATATTGCTGCTCCTGGGCCAAGTCATAGCTCACGCTTGCGTGAAGGCAACGAGCCTTTCTTTGCTTTCGACATAGAATACAGCCCTGAGTCTGACTTCACACCGTTCACGAGCGGATTATCCCAGTGGCCGGCCATCATGCATCGCACAGTATATTCTGGTGGACACAGGCATACGATGTCTCGCGCATGTCAGGTGGCATGTCATTCTGACACAGGGACCAACCACGTGTCTGCACAGGTCTGCAGCGGTTCACAAGCTGCCTCGACCGGGTGGCCCATCAGCTTGAAGTGTTGTTTGGTCTGACGGTTTTGCCAGCAACTGGGGCAATGTTTGCACAGGCGTCACCAGAAGATTGCGTAGTTGTGTGCTCGCTCGTGAACCACTTCTTTGCGGTATCTAGTTAGGTCCCTTTTGCAGTGCAGTCTAGACCAGCTCTGATCGTCATTAGCGGCTGAGGCTACTTCAAGGCTCACTTGATAATCCGGACTTCAGGCAGGCCAGGCGCACCATCACACCATTGGATAACGAACATCGGTTGATGACTGTACTCGCAAATAACGGCAAGCAGATGGTCCGTTCATGCTTGACCATGGTAAACTGAATACCGGATGAGAGTTTCACTCCCTGGTGCATAAGGAGCGCTGGCCAAGGCGCAGGACCGCATTTGGAGAGCTGTATATCGACGAGGACAACCCCACGGGACAAAGAACTGGTCGAAAAGCACATCGCCACTTTGAATCCATCAGATGTGTTTCCAGCAGGTTGGCGGAGAGTCTCCTGCAGCGGCGATCGTGGCGTCACTGGCTAAGAAACGGAAGGCTAGGCTATTACTCAGTAGACAGTGTGAATTGACTACAGAGCCAGTGGGCGGCAGACTTCGCTCGCGGTGTGTTCGGGGCGCGCGACTGAGAGGGCTTGTGAACGAGAAATGAGAGAGCAGCCATTCTGTCTACTCATCCTAGTTGATCGACTCCGATGTTCTAGCTCCAGCGATCCGGCATATGGGACGTTAAGACACCTTTCGCGTGAACCTTCGGTCGCATTTCGGGCCAGGTCGAAGACTCGATAGCAGAGCAGTCGACGGCGACAGTAATTGCAAGGAAAGAGTGCATGATCCAAGCGTCACAGCGAGGAGATCAGCTGGAGGGCATTGCTCCATCTTGTGTTCATCCTCTCCGGTATGAGAAAGCGACTAAATCCGAATGTTCATCCAATGTTTGGCTAACTGGTATCGCGGGGGTTGGCGCGTGGAGGCGTCGCGGGGAATGTTGCTTTTTGGGGAGAAGCAAGTTTCATTAAGACCAGCTCTGAAAACGCCCGCCTGCAGGATTATGTTCTCATGTCATGGCGCTGTGTTCGGACTGTTCCATTCTTTCGTTCGCAGCCACTCCCGTAGATATCCGATCTTGGTGGTGTGGTTGCTGCAGCCGGGGCTCCTCTCGAAATGCTGGGTCAACCAACCGGGAGGACTCGAGGAGACTTCATATGTGCGGTAATATCCGTCGTCATTGCGCTGATGTGACGCCGGTGGGCGGAACAATTGGCTTGTTCTGAAGAGGGGGGTCGAACAGGATATTCGATTGAGACGCAGCGAAGCGGTTGAGTCGAATGAATGGCTGGCTGATGACGCTGAGCTCAACGGTTTTTCGGGGAGGCGATGGGAAGTTGAGGAGGGGCTTGGGGTGACTTCCTTGAGCTGCAGAGAGAACACTAACACTCCGCGTTGTGGTGGTGGGTGGGGTTGGCCGCCCGGACTGCCTCCATCAAATCTCTTTGGATCTAGTCCTGGCTGGTGTGGTGCCTCGAAGCATTGCAAAGATGCCTGGCTTCAAGACACGAGGATTCCCGAATCACAGCCACGCCGACACGCCGGCGGTATGTGCCTTTGATGTGTCGTGTCTCAGCAGCGGTGTATTGGCTGAGCTGATTCAAAGGCGGAGGGGCAATTGGGTCCTCCCTGGGGGCTTTCCTCACTGACATGTGATTGCGATGCGTGCCCCACGGTGAGGGTGACGCAAAAAGTGCATTGTTCAGGAATCAGAAGCAATCCATCTGTGACGCATGCCCACGTTCATGGTCTGCTTGCAAGTTGGCCCAGGGTCGTCTCTCGCGAGCTCCGCTTTCCTGGCCACGCGCCTCGCATCCGCCTCGGAGCCGAGAAAAGAAAACATCACGATGGATAGATTTCAATCACTCGTGATAGACATCTGACAGAGGACAAACCGCGGGATTTGACATACCGACCGAGGCGCTCTGAGGTATGAGGCTCGTCACGAAATGGGTATTGAGGGGCCCAAGGGGGGAAACAACGCTGTTGCCAAGCACGGTCTGGCCGGGCGGGCTGGCAGGCAATGGGCTTTTTCGATGGCGAAGATGCTCCCGACTGGAGAGCAGGTAAGCTATGGTGGGTAGGAATAGCTTTCACATGTCAGACGAGCAGGGATCAAGCTGCAAGACCAAGGAAAAAAACCCACCGCGAAAAAGCTCCTCGGCGCGCATCTCATGCAACCACTCAGAGCCACGCCACGCATGTCTCTGAGGCGCAAAGATAGGGCGATTTCCATGTCAGTGCTGCGTCTTGAATTTTGACTGGTGCATTCTGTGATACGAGGTCCCTGTCACCCTCCAAACCTCGATGCGCCAGCGCCAGTTCTCCTTCGGCATCCCGCTCTTGAGGTGTGCGGCGACAGGGGAGGGGAGAGAAGAGCCCCCTCCCGAGAGCACCCCACCACCAACCTCTATCACGACACGCACCCTGCCTTGACCCCCAAAACCCAAGACATCTGCGCCGGACAAGACTATCACGGGCAACCCAGGATTGCACATTCCTGCTCTGCAAACCCCCGTCCCCCTGCTCGACAGCCCGGCATGCCATGGCAGCCCGGCCGACAAGCCGATCGATCCGATGTCTTAGCAAGAACGCAAAGCATATGCTTTTCGCTCCCCCTGTTTGCAAGCGAGGAACACAGAATGGCCACCCTGGGCGCAAGCACGAGCAAAAGTGACATGCTATCTATCGATCTACTGATGAACGAGGCGAAAAGTCCCCGCCGCGACCCAAAGTGTCTCACGTACCTTACCTTGCCTGATCCGACCTTACCTTTGACACGACCCGGTGTGGCGCTGGCGCCGGCGCTGGCCCTGCATTGCATTGCTTGGAAGCTTGGGGCCGACCTGGCCCTCGCCTCCGGTCTCATGTGCGTGCTGCTTGCTGTCTACGGCTTCGACCTTCATATCACTGTACATCCTCGCTCATCATCGCTCGTCATCCCCCCCTCCCTTCCTCCTTCCTTCCTCCCCTCTATCTCTTCTGCTGCGACTTGCCCCTCCACCCAGCCTGCTTTAAGCTTCGACCGGCGCCTCTGCCCATCAGGACTCCTCCTATCCTGCACTCAAAGTTCTTCCGTCGCATCTTTCTTGCTCGCACCTCTCCCTACACCCACCCATTCACCTGTACACGTTTGAAAACGCCCAGTACTTTGACGTACTTTGCCCTACCTTATCCCACGAGCTCCTGAATTTACCCTTGGAGCCACACCTGTCGTCGTTTCGTAGGAGTACCTCGACTCTGACTCGACCCCGATAGCGCAATGGCTCAAGTGAACGGCGACGTGTCGAGCTCGGCTCCCAGCTCGGCATTTGTCCAGGTATGCAGTCTACGTTGCATGTAGCATTGTCACGGTTATGTATACTGACAGTATGACTCCAGCACCTCCTCGACTACCCCGTCGTCCACGACGGTGTCACCAGCTTTAAGCAGAACCCCTACGGTCAGAAGTCTCTGCAGCTCAGCGACTCTGCCTACAAGACCTTTGCCCAGCCCTTCATTCCCTACCTCGCCGGCCCTTTCGAGTTCGTGCGACCTTATCTCCAGAAGGCCGACACCTTCGGCGACCAGGCTCTGTCCAAGGTTGACCAGCAGGTCCCCTTCGTCAAGAAGCCTACAAACGAGCTGTACGCCGGCGCCAAGGGCATCATCGCCCTTCCCTTCAAGACGGGCGTCGAGACCAAGGACCACGTTCTCAAGACCTACTCGGCTGAGTACAAGAAACTCGGCAATGGCAATGACAACGTTATCACCTACGGCAAGGCCTTGGTCAGCACAGCCTTCATCTCTAGCAGCGAGTTCTTGACGTGGGCCAACAATGTTCTGCACTACAAGAAGGAGGAGGCCAAGGAGGCCATCAACGAGAAGGCAAACAACTAGGCGGCATGTGCATGTGGCGCCTTCTTTTCATTTTCCCTTTCCCACCTTGTTCACTGCGAAATGGACCTGCCGAGGTCATGATATCCAGGCGTTCCCTTGATCATTTGTTCTGCGTGTTGGCTGGTCGAGGGCGCAGGGTCTTGGATATCCGAATCCGCCCGTGAAAGGTGGTGTCTTCCCCAGTTGCGTCCCGGACAGTGCACGCGGCCCTGCCCATCGTTTCTCGGCCTCAGAGTTGCTCTTTCGCTAGATACGACTACCCGGAGCATCTTGCTTCACTCAGCTGTCATCTCTGCAATGATGTGGATGAAGCTGGAATCGATGGCGAGACAGCCGTGGGCGGCTTGCTTGGCTGTGTGACTAGGTACGGCGCTCAAAATCAGCGACGATGGCAGGGTCAGTTTCATACCGCACCAATAGATTCCCAATTATTTATCATTTCCCAGTATAATTAAATGCCAGAAGAGACAAAGACTGCCCATTGTCAAGCTCAACCGAACACACGTATGGTGCCAAAAGATGCAACGGGAATGACCTCAACAGTTTCTCCACCGGCGGTTGGTGTTGGCCTGGCGTTGTCCACTGGATTGGTTGCCAATCAGTATGTCAGCGAATCGTCCAGTGGGAGGTGCGGGTGGGGCCGACAATCTGGGCAGCTCCAAAGGTATCGCTGGCTGAGTTGATTGCCCCTCACTGCTGAGAGGGGCAATCAACTCAGCAGCGACGCTGATGTAAAGCTTGACTAAGGGGGGGCCTGATGTGCTTAGAAGAGGCTGCCATAATCATCATGGCATGGCGATTCGCCTGATTCGAGACACCGGATCCAGCCTTTCCAAGGCCGACGACGAGGGGCCATAAAGGCATTGACGTTGAGCAATCCATCTTTCATCATTTGTCAATTGCTCGCAGTCTCTTCCAAGATCTTCTTCTCCCAACCTCACCTCTCCCACCCGATTTCGCGACGACAACTACATAAGTCCTTCGTCGCCGTTGCATTTCAGATGAAGGTATTCGCTTTCTGGACCACGATCACAGTCGGCATCCTATCGATACTTTTCTGTTATCAACCGCAAATTCAGAATCTCGCTTTGAACACCGCTCAAATAGCGCTGAGCTTCGTGAACACCAAACTAAAGATATCTTCATTGTCGTCACCTACACAACCCGACCATCACCTCTACGCCACAGAAATGTCGGTCCCACGCGCCATTCGCAAAATATTCCTCGCGGTTGAGCAGGCCGAGGGTGCCGGGGCCCGCGTACGCCGCTCCATTGGCACGCCCCAGCTGCGCAATCTCTCACCTTTCCTTATGCTTGACCACTTCTCCATTAAGCCCGGTGCCGGCTTCCCCGACCATCCCCATCGCGGCCAGGAGACCATCACGTACCTCCTCCAGGGCGGCGTCGACCATGAGGACTTTGCCGGGAACGCCGGCACCATCGAGGCCGGAGACTTGCAGTTCATGACGGCCGGAAAAGGCATCATGCACGCCGAGATGCCCAAGCAGAACCCCGACGGCAGCGCCAACGTCGGCCTCCAGCTGTGGGTCGATCTGCCGCAGAAGCTGAAGGCGTGTGAGCCCCGCTACCGTGACCTCAAGGCGAAGGAGATCCCCTCAGTTGACGTCGACGGCGGCAAGGCGCACATCAAGGTCATCTCGGGCCAAAGCCACGGCGTCGACTCGGTCCGCGACCTCGCCTACACGCCCGTCTGGATCCTGGACCTGCAGGTCAAGCCCGGCGGCAAGGTCGCACAGCCGCTGCCTGCCAACTGGAACGCGTTCGCCTATGTTCTCGAGGGCCAGGCCCTATTCGGCGCCGGCGACCAGCAGCGCCCCGTTGAGCAGTATCACAACGTGGTGCTCGAGCAGGAGGGCGACGTCGTCAATATCGAGGTTGATGCAGGTGCTGACAAGGACGCGCGCGTCGTGCTCATTGCGGGCACACCTCTCGATCAGCCGGTCGTGCAGTACGGGCCGTTTGTCCTGAGCTCCAAGGAGGAGGTCTACCAGGCGCTGCAGGATTACCAGACACACTCGAACGGGTTCGAGAGGGCCGAGGGGTGGCAGAGCGAGATTGGAAAGTCCATGATCCACTGATCTGTAACAACCCGATGTATTCTCGAGCAACACGGCATTTGGCATGGAGTATGGGGTTATCAGTTGTATTTAGAAAGTTGAGATTCTATGAGAGAAAACACATATCCTTATGTCATGAAGAGGAAACAAGACGTCTATCTGCCTGCATGCTGCGATTCTAGGGAGTGTTTCGAGTCTGCTACGAAGATTTAGTGATGCCTGGGCAACTGCGCATGACGAGCGCCGAAAGGACGGTAGATAATTGAATATTGATGCAATCACGAATTGCTCGCCGCAGGCTATCTCAATCGACCCGATCCTCATATTGCTGAGACTACCTTGCCCAGCTGTGACAATCCGCTCAATGCACCGTATCGTGGGGCAAAGTGTCACAGCACACCACCGACAGCGCACTGGCCATCAACGGCTTAGCAAGGCATGTTGTTCCATGTCAGGCACTGAACCCCAACCCATTCGAGGCAGCCAGCCATAGGATCGTGCCATGTACCTTGCTCTGCACAAGCACACGACGCTCCGAGCAACAAACGAACCAGCGCGCGCTCGTCCCGGCACCAATGCACCGACACACTCCCTGAAGACCAGAACACACACTCTCTCCATCACGGCGCGGTCATCCGGCGACTCCCCATCGCTGAGCGATTCCCGACCATGGACGCCCCCGTGCCTAAGCTCTCGGAGCTTCTGCGCCACCCGGACGACCTCGACAAGATCATCGGCCTCAAGCAGGAGTTTGGCCGCAAGAAGAGCGCGGTCGACGGGCAGCTCCGCAGCGGCCTGCGCGAGCAGCTCGAGACAACCCAGTCGGGCATGACGGGCCTCGCCGACGGCCAGAAAGCGGTGCAACAGATCAAGGAGGAGATGATGAAAATCGACCGCCTCTGCTCCGAGTCGCAGAACATGATCAAGGACTTTACGAGCATCAACATTGTCTCCCAGGCCCATCGCAACTTTGGCGCCGTGCGGGCCATGCGCAAGAACCTCGAGACCTTCAACGAGCGTCTGGCCATGGTCGAGGGCATGCTGCAGCAGGACGAGGCGGACAAGGAGAGCATGCCGAACCTCCTGCCGATACACTACGAGCTCACGCAGCTAAGGAATATTCGGGACGACGCAATGGAACAGATACAGAGGGCCGAGGATCCGAGCCTCGAGTCGACGCTCGAAGACTACTTTCAGAGGCTCGACCTCATGATCGACTGGTTCGATGACCACATTGGCCTGCTGGCGCTGAACCTTATCAGCCTTGTCGTCAATGACAACAACGGTCTTGTCGTGCGCTTTGCCGTCGTCATCGAGGCGGAAGAGAAGAGCGACCAGCGCGTGCTAGCCCTGCAGGAGGCCCTGAAAGACCACAAGGAGATGGCGACGAGGTTCCAGAGCATCACGGACGGAGCCAAGAAGGTCCGCGGTTACAAGGACAAGTTTCTGCAGGCGATCAAGATCAATGCCGAGGGGCAGTTTGGCGAGGCCCGAGGCGAGTTCCTGGACGACCCGTCGCAGCTGTCACAGGCGCTGCAGTGGTACTTCAATGACCTCAACGCTGTCAAGATTGGCATGACGCCTCTGATGCCAAAGAAGTGGAAGATTCTCAAGACCTATGGACAGATTTACCACGAGCTGATGCGCGACTTCCTCGTCGGCATGATCGATGACCCCGAATCGAGCTCGGGCAACACACTCGAGATCATCAACTACCCCGAGAAGTACTACAAGAGGATGACCAAGCTGGGTTTCCGCCAGGACGAGCTAATGCCGCATGTCATTGACAATCGGGAGGGCGAGCTCGTGCGGGAGTTCCGACAGCTCATTATCAAGTTCCTGGACGAGTGGCTCGATCGCATCTTTGCACAGGAGAAGAAGGACTTTGCCGAGCGAGTTGTCGAGGGATCCAACCTGGACCAGGACGAGTACGGCTACTTCCGAACCAAGAACCTCGTCGACATGTGGCGCATGCTGCGCGAGCAGGTGGATGCAGCAGCCAACTCGAAGCGTACCGACGTGATCGAGGGCGTCATTGATGCCATGTTTCTGCGACTGCGCGTGCGGCAACAGACGTGGCAAAAGCTGCTCGAGGACGAGGCACTCAAATACGAGTCGGGCAAAGACCCGGAGCTCGAGGGATTTCAAGCGCTGCAGGACTGGCTCGTGGGCACGGCCAACGACCAGATCGCCTGCATCGACGACAGCGAGGAGGAGAACAAGATGGCATACCTATCCAACTTTCGACAAAAGTTCGAGACGGTCGTGTCGCCTGCGTATATGGAGCGGGCGAACGGCGAAATCCTTGCGCTGCGGGACGGCTATGTCGACTTTAGCACGTGGTGCATCACCAAGTTTGTGCAGCTCATCTTCGTCATTGACTTCAAGTTGGTGATGCCCGACTTCTTCACACCAAAGTGGTATGGTAGCTCGGCGATGAAGCAGATGGTGGTCACGTTCGAGGAGTACGTAGGAGACTACCGACAGGTGCTTCACCACTCGCTCGTGGACATCTTCACCGAGGTATTCGCCGACGAGCTCCTGATCCGCTACCTCACATCAGTGCGGAACAAGGGGGCCAAATTCAAGCGCACCGAGCCATTCCAGGACAAGCTCTTCGACGATATTTCGACGGCGTTCAACTTCTTCGACAGCCTGCCCAACCAGGACGTGGCCAACGCCGTCAAGCAAACTTGGAGGGTGACAGAGCCCTTCCTGCAGCTCCTCACGGTTGCCAAGGACGCTGTGCCGGATGCATTCGAGTCCTTCAAGCGCGAGTACTGGGATCTGCAAATCAGCTGGGTCGAATCAGTGGTAAGGGCGCGCGATGACTTTGACAGGTCCATGTTGAACGCCGTCAAGGCAAGGGCAGCACAGGTGGACGTGGAGCGCACGGGCGAGACTATCATGAGCAGGTTCAAG